AGGCGGGGCCGGGAGGCGGAGGCGGGGCCGGGAGGCGGAGGCGGGGCGAGTCCGGAGGACTCCTGGGGCTGCGGGGAACATGGCGTTTTGGGGTTGGCGCGCCGTGGCAGCCGGCCGGGTGTGGGGCCGGGTAGCTGAACGGGCCGAGGCCGGGGGAGGCGTGGGGCCGTTCCAGGCCTTGGGCTGTCGGCTGTTGCTTGGCGGCAGGGACGATGTCAGTGCGGGGCAGAGAGGCAGCCGCGAGGTCCTCGGTGAGCCCTTGGACCCGGCGCGCCCCTTGCAGAGGCCCCCCAGACCCGCGGTGCCCAGGGCATTCCGGAGGCAGCCGAGGGCAGCAGCTCCCGGTTTCTTCTTTTTGAGGTATTTTGGGCAAGGACAAGCACTTCTTGCGTGTTCGTTGTCGACATCTCGCCCCCCTTTCTCACCTTGCCGTGTTTCCTTTGAGGCATGTCTGGGAGTTACTTCCGTTCCAACACCCGGGGCCTCCGTCTTTACGCTGATCTGTGGACGTCCCTTATGGGGTTTTGTCGTTTAGTTCACCATTCCCTCTTTGAAATACCTTCTAACCTTTAGTTACATCATGCTGTGGTGAATAACCTTGTTTGCACCTCACTTTTTGCATAAATTCCTAGTACTGGGACTGCTAGGTCCAAAAGTATATGCATTTAACGCTTTAATTATCCCCATAAATGTTGTGCGGTTAATGCTCCCACCAGCATGTGATCATACCCGTCTCCATAGTAATTGCATCTAAGAGCTGAGCCTACATAGGAAAAAATCTTAAGGTCCATGGTTGTTAGGTATCAAATGCCCGATAATGGATGAATATTTAAGTAAATAATGGTACATTGACTTGATGCTGTCTGACACAACTGCTGAAAATATTGGTGAAAAGTGAGGCTCGAAGTGGTAGCTCACCCTTGTAATACCAGCACTTTCGGAGGCTGAGACAGGGGGATAGCTTGAGGCCAGGAGTTCAAGACCAGCCTGGGCAACATAATGAGACCTCCATCTCTACAAAAAATTTAAAAATTAGCCGGGCATGGTGGCACAAGTCTGTTGTCCCAGTTACTCCTGAGACTAAGGCAAGAGGATCCCTTGAGTCCAGGAGTTCAAGGCTGCAGTGAGCTATGATTGAGTCACTGCACTCCAGCCTGGGTGACAGAGCAAGACTCTTATCTACCTGGGAAAAAAAAGAAAAAAAACATTTAATAGATCCTGAAACGTCGGCTGGGCGTGGTGGCTCACACCTGTAATCCCAGCACTTTGGGAGGATGAGGCAAGTGGATAACAAGGTCAGGAGTTCGAGACTAGCCTGGCCAACATGGTGAAACCCCGTTTCTACTAAAATTACAAAAATTAGCTGGGGGTGGTGGCGGGCGCCTGTAATCCCAGCTACTCGGGAGGCGGAGGCAGAAGAATCACCTGAACCCAGAAGGCGGAGGTTGCAGTGAGCTGAGACTGCACCATTGCACTCCAGCCCAGGCGAAAGAGCAAAAATCCGTCTCAAACAAATGATCCTGAAGAGTCAGTAATTCATCCAAGAAGCCCTGACTGAGCTCTTGTTCTGTGCCAGACTCTGTTCTAGGTGCTATGGATGGAGCAGGGACCAGGACCGACAAACACATGGAGTGCATTCTAATATCAGTGATACTCTGCAAGACTTAAACAAATCCTTGCTACCACTGGCCCTAAAGCAGGAGGCACAGGGCTCCCTATGAGGAGTCCATTGCATGGGCTTTCTGCAGTTTGGCTTTGGATTTTTGAGCTCTCTGAATTTGTTCTTTGTGTCCTTTGCACAGTGTCCCTCCCAGGTGGCCCCCATGCCTGCCCCTTAGGGTCCCCCACTCCCAGTGAATTTCAGACCATGCAGCATATACTTTAAGCCATACATCTGATGTTCCAGACATTTGGTAAAACGCTGTTTATGTGTTTTTCAGTGACTCACAAACATTTTATTTATGTAGATGAGGAATGTACTCAGGCACCCTTCGTGATACCTTGCCCTCAGCAGGCACTCAACAGCCATAACCTTCATTCTTTTGTGCTTTTCTTAACAGTTCATGTTTAGTAGCAGCACAGTAGCTATTTGAGGAATGACTTTAAGTTAATAGATGTCTGAAATGGGGCGTTTAATAGGTGGTGAGGTGGTTTTAGAGCCAGGGTTTTCCCTCTTTGCTTCTTGACTACTTGACGAGTTTTCGTTAGAAAACCCCTTTGGAGGTTTGCACTCAGAGAGTTGAGTGCCTACTGAGTGTCCTGAATTATGAAATGAGCACAGTTCCCATTAACCTGAAATTTTTGCTCCCAAATAAGTCTTGATTCTGATTTATGACTGCTTTCCGTTGTAGCCCACTAGTCATCTGAGAAAGGTGATTATTTTGAGGCCTGGGGGGGACATACATGGTCATTCTCGATGGTGGGGGTGGTGCAGAGGGCAGAACCATCCTCTTTCTTGCTATCCTCAGACTGGTCGCTATCTGTTTCCTTTGCTGCTGTGTTTTCTTCTGTCAGTATTAAAGGTGGAAGAAGGCCTATATCTTTTTCTGTGAGTGCTTCAAGTGTTGTTGGAAGTGGAGGCGACAGTGACAAGGGGAAGCTTTCCCTGCAGGATGTAGCTGAGCTGATTCGGGCCAGAGCCTGCCAGAGGGTGGTGGCCATGGTGGGAGCTGGCATCAGCACACCCAGTGGCATTCCAGACTTCAGGTACTGCCCGCAGTCCCACCTGCCTCCTGCACTCCCCTCCCCTGCCTCCTGCCCTCCCCACTGCCCGGTTTCTTGCAAAGGCCTCAGAGCCTCTGTCTTCTCTCCCTGCAGATCTCCGGGGAGTGGCCTGTACAGCAACCTCCAGCAGTACGATCTCCCGTACCCCGAGGCCATTTTCGAACTCCCATTCTTCTTTCACAACCCCAAGCCGTTTTTCACTTTGGCCAAGGAGCTGTACCCTGGAAACTATAAGCCCAACATCACTCACTACTTCCTCCGGCTGCTTCATGACAAGGGGCTGCTTCTGCGGCTCTACACGCAGAACATCGATGGGCTTGAGAGAGGTGAGCCCTCTGTGAGTCGCACACATTCTTTTTCTCACAGGGAAGGCTCAGGTGCCTGTTTCTGGGCATGGCCGGAGCCTGGTGCTTGTGCTTCTTCCTTGGGACTGGTTTTGAGCCAACTAGTTAGGGCTTTGTTCCCAAGGAAAATGTCTCTGGGTGTTTAAAGGCCACTGCTTGTTCTCCTACATACCTGCAGAGCTGTGTATTTTGGGCAGAAGTTGACATTGTCTTGCCAATCTGGTGTGATGATCTCTCTTTTTTCTTCTCTCTTTAAAAAATTGTATTATGGAAATTTTTTGAGCACACACAAAGAGAAAAATGTAACAAACTGTCCTGTCCTCATCACCAGCACATAGCCAGTCCTTCCTGCGTCCTCACCACCTTCTTGCAAATCCCCAGATTATTTTGAAGCAAACCTCTCATATCATGAATTTAATCTAGAAATAATCTATAAACACAAGAATGGATATCTCTAGAGGATACTTTAAAAACAACTCCGGCCGGGTGTGGTGGCTCACATCTGTAATCTCAGCATTTTGGGAGGCCCAGGCAGGTGGGTCACTTGAGGTCGGGAGTTCGAGACCAGCCTGGCCAACGTGGCAAAACCCCGTCTCTACTAAAAATACAAAAAATTAGCCAGGCATGGTGGTGTGTGCCTGTAATCCCAGGTATTTGGGAGGCTGAGACAGGAGAATCTCTTGAACCCAGCAGGCGGAGGTTGCAGTGAGCCGAGATCATGCCACTTCACTCCAGCCTGGGTGACAGAGGGAGACTCTGTCTCAAAAAAATAAAAATAAAAATAATTAAAAAAAAAAAAACCCAACTCTGATACCATTTTCATGCTAAAGAATCACTAGTAATTCCTTAATATTGTCACACCCAGTCTGTGGTGATTTCTTGGCCGTATCCACATGGTGCCCAAACCAGCGGTTCACAGGTTGTGCCACCTTCTGGCCGTGCACCTTACGGAAGCACTTGGTGGGGCCTTTTCCTTACGTGCAGTGCTGCAGACAGGCGCTGGGACAGTCAGCTCTCCGGGAGCCAGGAGCGGCTCAGCCAGTCTGCTGATGTGTTGTCCAGTAAAAAGAGGAGGCACCAGGCCGGGCGCGGTGGCTCAAGCCTGTAATCGCAGCACTTTGGGAGGCCGAGACGGGCGGATCACGAGGTCAGGAGATCGAGACCATCCTGGCTAACATGGTGAAACCCCGTCTCTTCTAAAAAAATACAAAAAACTAGCCGGGCGAGGTGGCGGGCGCCTGTAGTCCCAGCTACTCGGGAGGCTGAGGCAGGAGAATGGCATAAACCCGGGAGGTGGAGCTTGCAGTGAGCTGAGATCCGGCCACTGCACTCCAGCCTGGGCCACAGAGCGAGACTCCGTCTCAAAAAAAAAAAAAAAAAAGAGGAGGCACCTTGGCTCCAGGCATGTGTTTCCTTGCCAGAAGGATCCCCGAGCTTGGAACCACAGAGGCAGCAGTGGATACCCCATGTTGGTGGTCTCTTCTCCCAGAGGTGCAGCAGGGCAGGCCTTGTGGGAAGGCGGGAGCTCCTGGCTGTGAGATTCAGCACTGCTGAGTTAGGGCAGCGACAGGGACTTGGGAAGCCTCCTACAGCGGGGACCGTGACAATACTAACACAACCTTCGTAGGAAGTCACTTTTTGTCTGTTTTTCTACCAAGCTGTTCTTTTGGAATTTATGATATTTATATCCTCATTTTAACTTGGTATAGAATAGAAAATGTGTTCCTAGATATTGGATACAATTGTTTGAGACAGGGTCTTGGCTCTGTTGCCCAGGCTAGAGTGCAGTGGCATGATCATAGCTCACTATAGCCTGAGCTCTTGGGCTGAAGTGATCCTTTTGCCTCAGCCTCTGGACTAGCTGGGACTACAGGCATGCACTACCATGCCTGGCTAATTTGTAAAACTTTTAAAGACAAGTCTCACTATGTTGCCCAGGCTGGTCTCAAACTCCTGGCCTCAAGTGATCCTCCTGCCTTGGCCTTCCAAAGCACTGGGATTACAGCTGTGAGCCACTGTGCCCAGCCTGGTATTGGATATAATTTATTTTTTTTGAGACAGAATCTCTCTCTGTCGCCCAAACTGGAGGGCAGTAGCACGATCTCGGCTCACTGCAACCTCCACCTCCCAGGTTCAAGCGATTCTCTTGCCTCAGCCTCCCCGAGTAACTGGGACTACAGGTGCCCGCCACCACACCCGGCTAATTTTTGTATTTTTAGTGGAGGTAGAGTTTCACCATGTTGGCCAGACTGGTCTCGAACTCCTAACCTCAAATGATCTGCCCACCTTGGCCTCCCAAAGTGTTGGGATTACAGGCGTGGACCACCGTGCCCAACTGGATATCATTATATTTGAGCTTTTATCAAATGGTGTTTTGTACTGAGTTTTGACAGGCTTTGTTTTAACCGTGATTTGGCTCCAGTTGGGAGCCCCTTTGCTCCCCTGCCTTATTCTGGTTGGTGGTGCATGTAGGTGACATGGGCATGAACACCAGGCTTGAGGACATCGCAACCCAACGGGGTTGTGCCTCCTTCCAGGAGGCCTGCCAAGCCCAGAAGTTGTGCTCTGGGACTTGCGTGCTCATCTCGGAGGCAGCAGCAACACTTAGCTTTGGCTTGAATTTCAGTGTCGGGCATCCCTGCCTCAAAGCTGGTTGAAGCTCATGGAACCTTTGCCTCTGCCACCTGCACAGTCTGCCGAAGACCGTTCCCAGGGGAGGACTTTCGGGTGAGTTATCCTGCTGTTGGTCGTCCTTCCGCAGTTTGCCGTTGGGGTGATCTGGAAAAGTGGTATTTTATTTTATTTTATTTTTTTTTGAGACGGAGTCTCGCTCTGTCGCCCAGGCTGGAGTGCAGTGGCCGGATCTCAGCTCACTGCAAGCTCCGCCTCCCGGGTTCATGTCATTCTCCTGCCTCAGCCTCCTGAGTAGCTGGGACTACAGGCGCCCGCCACCTCGCCCAGCTAATTTTTTTGTATTTTTTAGTAGAGACGGGGTTTCACCATGTTAGCCAGGATGGTCTCGATCTCCTGACCTCGGGATCCGCCTGTCTTGGCCTCCCAAAGTGCTGGGATTACAGGCTTGAGCCACCGCGCCCGGCCGAAAAGTGGTATTTTATAAGCATTGTCTCGAAAGGACAGTTGAACAGTAATAGTGTGAAAATTTTTATTTGTAAATTAGAAAATTAATACATGTTTGTAAAAAAATTTAAAACAATATAGAAATATGTAGGGAAAATGAATCTCCCTTCAGCCAATTCCAACTGCCCACTTTTTAATTGTTTTTCAAGACGGAGTCTTGCTCTGTCACCCAGGGTGGAGGGCAGTGGGGTGATCTTGGCTCACTGCAACCTCCGTCTCCTGGGTTCAAGGAATTCTCCTGCCTCAGCCTCCTAAGTAGCTGGGATTACAGGCATGTGCCACCTCACCCAGCTAATTTTTTTTTCTTTTTCTGTATTTTCAGTAGTGACAGGGTTTCACTATGTTGGCCAGGCTGGTCTCGAACTCCTGACCTCAGGTGATCTGCCCACCTTGGCCTTCCAAAGTGCTGGGATTACAGGCATGAGCCACCACGCCAGCCCCTGCTGCCCACTTTTAACAGCTTGGTGTATAATGTTCCAGCCTTTTTAAAAAAAAAAGTGATATGTTTATGTAAACGTGCTACACGTATTTATGTACATACACCTACACACAGTTGAAAAATTTTTTTTCAGGCTGGGAACAGTGGCTCACACCTATAATCCCAGCACTTTGGCAGGCCGAGGCGGGCAGATCTCGAGGTCAAGAGATCGAGACCATCCTGGCTAACAGGGTGAAACCCTGTCTCTACCAAAAATACAAAAATTAGCCGGGCGTGGTGGTGGGCGCCTGTAGTCCCAGCTACTCAGGAGGTTGAGGTGGGAGAATTGTTTGAACCTGGGAGGCAGAGGTTGTAGCCAGCCGAGATGGTGCCACTGCCCTCCAGCCTGGTGACAGAGCGAGACTCCGTCTCAAAAAAAAAAAACAAAGAATTTCAGCAATCGGGTTATTTTAAGCTTAGTATTCTACAGCTTGATTTTTTACTGAGCAGTTTCATAGATCTCTTGTGTCAATACCCACAGTTCTGCTTACTCTTTTTATTAACTATAGAGTATTACATTTAGCCATTCACGTATTGTGGGACATTCTTTGATGTATGTAATTTTCACTATTAAAAATATAACAGTGGTACCTATGCTTATGCTGCTATGTACTTCTGTATTTCTGTAGAATGGGTTTCTTAAAATAGAATAGGATAGAGTTGAAAAAATCTTAAATAAAGATAAAACTCTGAAATGGAGACATGGCACAGGACTTTTTTTATTTACTTATTTTTTATTGAGGTGAATTTTTTTTTTCTTTTTTTTTTTAGACAGAGTCTTGCTCTGGTCACCCAGGCTGCACGCAATCTCTGCTCACTGCAACCTTCACCTCCCGGGTTCAAGCAATTCTCCTGCCTCAGCCTCCCGAGTAGGTGGAACTACAGGCGTGTGCCAACACGCCCGGCCCATTGTTTTTGGATTTTCAGTAGAGATGGGGTTTCATCATGTTGGCCAGGCTGGTCTCAAACTCCTGACCTTAAGTGATCCACCCAGCTTATTGAGGTGAATTTGACATAACATAAATTTAACTATTTTAAGGTGTTCATTTCATTGGCATTTGGTACCTTCACAGTGTGGGTCCCCATCATCTCTATCAAGTTCCAGAACGTGCTGATTACCCCAGAAGAAAACCTTGTACTATTAAGCCACTGCGCCCAGCTAATGGTTTTTGTATTTCTAGCAGAGATGGGGTTTCACCATGTTGGCCAGGCTGCTCCTGCACTTCTGACCTCAGGTGGTTCACCCGCCTCGGCCTCCCAAAGTGTTGGGATTACAGGCATGAGCCACTGTGCCCTGCCCATGTTTAACTTTTTTGTTTGTTTGTTTTGAGACAAGTCTCGCTCTGTCACCAGGCTGGAGTGCAGTGGCGCAATCTTGGCTCACTGTACCTTCCGCCTCCAGGGTTCAAGCGATTCTCCTGCCTCAGTTTCCTGAGTATCTGGGACTACAGGCGCCCACTGCCACGCCTGGCTGATTTTTGTATTTTAGTAGAGACAGGGTTTCACCGTGTTGGCCAGCATGTCTCGATCTCTTGACCTGGTGATCCGCCCGCGTCAGCCTCCCAGAGTGCTGGGATTACAGGCGTGAGCCACAACCCAGCCCGTGTTTAACTGTTTGAGGAGTGAATATACTGTTTTCTGCAGAAGCTGGACCATTTTACATTCCACGAACAGTGTGCAAGGGTCTCCTCTTATCCATATCCCAACACTTACTTTCCATTTTTTAATTACAGCTCTCCCAGTGGGTGGGAACTGGTAACCCGTTGTAGCACTGATTGGTGTTTTCCTAATGATTCAGATATGCACTGATTGGTGTTTTCCTAATGATTCAGATATCAAACATCTTTCCATGTACTTTCTGGCCATTTGTGTATCTTTGGAGATTGAAGTCCTTTGTAACCCGTTGTAGCACTGATTGGTGTTTTCCTAATGATTCAGATATCAAACATCTTTCCGTAATTTTCTGGCCATTTGTGTATCTTTGGAGATTGAAGTCTCGTTGTAAATCTGCTGTAGCACTGATTGGTGTTTTCCTAATGATTCAGATATCAAACATCTTTCCGTGTACTTTCTGGCCATTTGTGTATCTTTGGAGATTGAAGTCCTTTGTGCATTGTTTAATTGTGTTGTCTTTTTTATTGTTGAGTCCTTTATATATTCTGAAAGCTAGATCCTTATCAGACACGTAGTTTGCAAATATTTTCTGCCATTCTGTAGGTTGTCTTTTTTACTTTCTTGATGATGTCTCTTGATGCATGAAAGTATTGATTTTTGATGAAATCCAGTTTATTTTTTTCTCACTCTTTTGGAATCATATCTGAGAAATGGTGTCATTTTACCCCTATGTTTTCTTATAAGAGTTTTATAGTTTAAAGCTTTTACATTTAGTTCTTTGATCCATTTTGAGTTAATTTTTGTGTGCGCTGTAAGGTAGGGATCCAGCTTCGTTTTCTTGTATGTGGATATATAACTGTTCCAGCACCATTTGTTAAACAGAAACTGTGGTCTTGGCATTCTTGTTGAAAGTCAGTTGGCCTAGGTGTATGGGTTATTTCTGGATTCTCAGTTCTATTCCATTGTTATGTATATATCCGCGTGCCTGCACTGTCATGTTTTGGTCACTATAGCTTTGCAGTGAGTTTTGAACTTAGGAAGTGTGAGTCCAGCACATAGTAGAAACTTCATATATGCATATTATTCTTTTTATCAACTCATTCATTCATTGAATGACCAATTTATTCCACAAATAGTTTGGTCTGCTCAGTGCCAGGCCCTTTGCTGGGTTCTGTGGATGTGAAAACAAATTAAAGTAAGGTGGAGTCATCCAACAGTTACAGTTGGGTGCCATACCAGTTTTACTGCAGATGTGTACTGGATGCTCTGCTGACTCAGCTGTAGGAACAGAGCAGGCTGGGAAGCACCTTGGAGATGAGGCTGCCTGGGTGTAAGAGTCTGTTTCTGGCAGCAGAGACCTGGAGTGTGGGAGGCCTGCTCTGTTAGGGTTTGAACTGGAGTGTGGAGGCCTGCTTGCTCTGTTAGGATTTGAACTGTATCCTGACGATCATGGGAGGTATTGAAGGATATTTAGGCAGGAAAATGATGTGAAGGGATTTGCATTTAAAAGAGATTATGAGGGGCTGGGCACAGTGGCTCACACCTGTAATCCCAGCACTTTGGGAGGCCTAGACAGGCGGGTCACCTGAGGTGGGGAGTTTGAGAGCAGCCTGGCCAAAATGGTGAAATCCCATCTCTACTAAAAATACAAAAATCAGCTGGGTGTGGTGGTGCACCTGTAATCCCAGATACTCAGGAGGCTGAGGCAGGAGAATCGCTTGAACCCGGGAGGGGGAGATTTCTGTGAGCTGAGATCGCACCACTGCACTCCAGCCTGGGTAACAGAGTGAGACTCCATCTCAAAACAAAATAAATAAATAAATAAGAGAATAAAATAGATAATTTGGGCAACAGGTTGTTGTTAATTCCCCGCCTTTGTTCTTCTCCTCCAGTACTGTGTTGGCTATTCTGAATCTTTTGCCTTTTCATGTAAATTTCCGAAACTGTTGCTATCTATTCTCTGCCTGTTTTATTTTTGTTGTTGTTGTTTGGGTTTTTTTTTTTTTTTTTTTTTTTTTTTTTGAGACAGAGTCTTGCTCTGTCGCCCAGGCTGGAGTGCAACGGTATGATCTCGGCTCACTGCAACCTCCGCCTCCCAGGTTCTAGCGATTCTCTTGCCTCAGCCTCCTGAGTAGCTGGGATTACACGCGCGCGCTGCCATGCCCAGCTAATTTTTGTATTTTTAGTAGAAATGGGGTTTCATCTCTACTATGGGGTCAGGCTGGTCTCGAACTCCTGACCTCGTTATCTGCCCACCTCAACCTCCCAGAGTGCTGGGATTACAGGCATGAGCCACCGTGTCTGGCCTCTCTGCCTGTTTTTTAAGACTTTTGTCTTTGGAGTTTTGCAGTTTCTCCATGCTGGTTTTCCATATGAATTTCCTTTGATTTCTTCTGTGTAAAATTTGTAGGCCAGGTGGGCACGGAGGCTCACGCCTGTAATCCCAGCACTTTGGGAGACCGGGTGGGTGGATCGCCTGAGGTCAGGAGTTCGAGACCAGCCTGACCAACATGGTGAAACCCCGTCTCTACTAAAATACAAAAATGAGCCACGTGTGGTGGCACCCATCTGTAATCCCAGCTACTTGGGAGGCTGAGGCAAGAGAATTGCTGGAACCCAGGAGGCAGAGGTTGCAGTGAGCCGAGATCATGCTACTGCACTCCAGCCTGGGTGACAGAGTAAGATGCCATCTCAAAAAAATAAAATATAAAATAAAATTCTAAGCCCTGCAACCAACTGAATGGACCCCTCCCCTTGGTCAAGGGAACCCCAGAGAAACCTTGGAAGTCAGTTCCTGGCCATAGCAGGAGGGGAGGTCAGATGCGCCTCATTGTACCCCTCCCTCCCCAACCACCATTAGGCTTTCTTCACTAAGGGCTAAACAGAAACCAACCCTTTTCAAAGGCTCCATACTGCTAATGTGGATTACTGGCTTATCTTCCCAGATACAGATCAAAGACAAGATGAGATGAATGGTTCCTTCACCCTTCCCTGAGAGGTCTGCTTAGTTCTCTTCCTCTGTTTCCTTCTGTCACTTCCTGAAGTCTCACAAGTACTTAACCATTCACCTCACAGCCACCCTCCCCCTTCGAAGGACCACGTATAATTACTAAACCTGAGAACCTCTTGGGACAAAAACAACCACAGATGTGCTTGTGACTCATGTTTTTCCTGTGGGCACCCTCATGCTGGCTCAGTAGCCCTCACTTGCTTGAGATCCTGAATATGTGGGTTGGTGTCTTTCATGGTTGCTGGATAATACTCGGCCGTTATCTTGGGATATGAATTGCCCCTGGCCTGCTATCTGGCCCCTCTCCTTAGGGATCTCTGATTGAACCTACGTTAGGCCTCCTCTCTCCTGCTGTTCCTGATCACTCTTCTGTTCTGTAATTGCTCCTTCTTGTGCTGCGTTCTGGGTAATTTCTTCTGGTCTTTTTTCCAGTTTACTAATATTGTATTCTGTTATAAAGTACTTCCACTGAGTGTTTCTTTCTTTCTTTTTTCCCAAACACCAACTTGAAACAGACATTGAGTTTTAATTTTTTATTTCTGTACTTTTTATTTCTAGAAGTTCTGTTTGGTTACTTTTCAAGTCTGCTACATTATTTTTTAATAGTTTTGTATCTTTGATAGTTTTTTTTTTTTTTTTTTTTTTTTGAGATGGAGTCTCACTCTGTTGCCCAGGCTGGAGTGCAGTGGCGCAATCTCAGCTCATTGCAACCTCCGCCTCCCTGATTCAAGCAATTCCCCTGCCACAGCCTCCCAGGTAGCTGGGATCACAGGCGCGCACCACCACGCCTGGCTAATTGTTTGTGTTTTAGTAGAGACGGGGTTTCACCATGTTGGCCAAGACAGTCTGATCTCCTGACCTCATAATCCGCCCACCTTGGCCTCCCAAAGTGCTGGGATTACAGGCCTGAGCCACTGCGCCTGGCCTTTAATAGATATTTCAAGTTTGTCTTTTTTTTGCTTCCTTAATTTTTTTTTTTTACTATACCCCATGCCTCCAAGATAACAGTTTTTTCTTTTTAATTTAGATATAATACAGTTTTACTGTGTATCCAAGATTATCTGAAATCTTTTGTGGGTCTCTTTCTTTTGTCTTTTGTTTCTGTTGCTTCTTGCTGGATTGAGCCTGCTTAAAACAAGCCCGGTTAGCGGTAAAGGTTTCCCTTAGAAAGTCAGGTGTCTTCCTCTGTAACTCGCTCCCTTTTCCATCTGCTCCAAGGCATTAGTTTATATTAATCTTGACTCAGTGAAGTCGTGTCCACTTCACCTTGGCCAGTAAGGAAGCAATGTTTGGCAGATGTTGTTACTCCTAATAACGCCAGCCAGTGAGTGAAGCCGACCTGAAAGCCTCCCCGGGCTGAGGCAATGGCATGATCACTGAAGCGCAAACCAGAGACAGTTTCACCTTGTGACTGAATAATGTTCGGTGTAGGCCAAATGCCTGCAGACGACTGTTTGAGGACCGGTGTGGTCTACCAGGTGTTTTCTTAGCACCAGAATGTCTCCGGTCACCATCCCGGTGTAGGAAAACCACGGTGTTAGTCGCTAGATGCCTGCGAAGTAATAACGCGTGGCGTATGATGTCAAGATTTGCTTTAAATGAAAAAACCGAAGTAATAACGCGTGAAACGTATGATGTCCAAGATTTGCTTTTAAATGCTCCAGCACCTCCTCCCAGATTCTGGAGGGCTATGACACAATCAGCTGTGAAAACTGGTAATTCCTAAAGCTGGGTACATGGGGGTTCGTGATACCTCTCCCACCTTTTTTGGGGGAGAATGTTTGACACTTTAATAAGAACTTGTTGCCTTTTCCTTTTACAGGGTGTTGCAGGCATCTTCCTCAGGCCTGTTTTCTCTGTTTTCCAGGCTGACGTGATGGAAGACAGGGTTCCCCGCTGCCCGGTGTGCACCGGCGTTGTGAAGCCCGACATTGTGTTCTTTGGGGAGCCGCTGCCCCAGAGGTTCCTGCTGCACGTGGTTGATTTCCCCATGGCAGATCTGCTGCTCATCCTTGGGACCTCCCTGGAGGTTTGTCAGCCTGTGCAGGGAGGAGGCTGGAGGGCAGGGGAAGGGAGGGGTACAGAAGTCATCTCATGGGCCCTTCCGGGGCTGGTGCCACTTTCGGAAGGTGAGTGGATTCAGCTGGGGCTCCAGGCTGAGGGAACAGCAGCCTGTGCGGGAGACAGGAAGGCAGGAAGCTGCTGGGCTTTGGAGGTGGTGTAGGTGCGGGTGGGGCACCACGTGTGAGGAGAAGGGAGGAGGAAAGGGGGCGTCGGGTTGAGGTGGAGGGGCAGGCCTCCCAGGTCGGATCAGGAATACTGATGCTGCGTTGGGAGTAGTGATAAATCCAAAGGGACTGGCCCAGGGACGTAGCTGCACCCTTGGGGCCAGAGAGGCCTTTGGGGAGTGGAGAGTGGAGCAAGTAGTGCCAGGAGGCTGGTCCTGAAGAAGGTGGAGCTGTGGTCACCTGAGGGACAGCGAGGAGGGGGACTGGACTTGCAGCCTGTGTTGTTTTGGGGGTGTGAGAAGGAGGCGTCTGGCTTGGTCTGTAAGGTCAGGGCATTTGCTGGTGAGGCGTGATTTGGGAGGGAGGATGCCCAGCTCGGTTCTGTGCATGTCTCAGGTGCCTGGGCAACGCCCTCTGGATGTGGTCAAGCAGCTGTTCTGCGTCTGCGTCTGAAGCTCAGGAAATTCCTAAAAGCTGTGATGAGTCACGTAGTGTGTGTGTGACTGGATATAGGCACCAAGGGCAGAAGGGCCAGAAAGACCTGTGCTCCGAGGGGCCCAGGGCAGCCGCAGGGCCCAGAGCGTGTTTGTTCGGGCCTTCATTGGGTGCTGGGCCCTGCTCCAGTGCTTTGGACATCCACAGTCAGATGTCAGTGTAAGAAGTTACATAGTTTGTGAGGAGATGATCGATGTTCTGGGAAAGATAACAAGTAGGATAGAAGGGCTAGAAGGGTTGGGAACCAGCTGCAGTGTCAAGCCAGGCAGGTGGAGTTGGAGCTAAGAGTTTACCAAGGTGAGGGGGGTCTGGCAGGGGACACTGCACAGGTGACAAACGGCAAGGAGGGTGGGGCGACGTCAGCAGTGACGGGCACGGGCTGGAGCAGAGAAGGAAGTGGGGCACAAGTGTCATCTCATGGGAGGCTGGCGCTGCCTCAGAAGATGAATGGATTCAGCTTGGGTTCCAGGCCAGAGCCTGGAAGTTGAGAGGACTCCTTTGGGTGCTGGGCTGTGAGCCCACCATGGGGGCAAGACTAGGAGCAGCAGACCCAGCAGGGCCCTTGTAGGTAATCACCGGCTGGCACTGGCTGGGGGCCGGGTAAAGCCAGCAGAGGCTGAGGTGCTGGAGTCTGGGTGTGTGTGAACACAGAGTGGGCGTGCTGGCGCGGTGCATGGGAGGGCGTGGACTCCCAAGGACTCCAGGACTGTGGCTGGAGCAGCTAGAAAGACGGAGCCGCCATTTCCTGAGATGGAGAAGCCTGGTAGGTGGGTTTGGGGGAGCTCAGGAACTCAGCCTTGTTTCCACGGATTTGAGGACGTACTGTGGACTGGAGGTGTTGAGCAGGTGGATATGAGTCTGGAGTCCAAGAAGGCCCAGAGGCAGGAGCTGGGGTGCTGGAGTGAGCAGACAGGAGAGCCCAGGGTGTGGACAGACGTGAGAATGCCATGCTAGGCCTCGGATGGAGGGACAGACACAGCAGGAGCAGTCAGAGGGGCCATGGTGGTCAGCAGAGTGCGGGCTGAGACCAGCTGACCGTGCTGGCCACCAGGTGTGGACACTCGGGCCACCAGCCATCTTTTTTTTTTTTTTTTTTGAGATGGAGTCTGGCTCTGCCGCCCAGGCTGGAGTGCAGTGGCCAGATCTCAGCTCACTGCAAGCTCCGCCTCCCGGGTTCATGCCATTCTCCTGCCTCAGCCTTCCGAGTAGCTGGGACTACAGGCGCCCGCCACCTCGCCCGGCTAGTTTTTTGTATTTTTTAGTAGAGACGAGGTTACACCGGGTTAGCCAGGATGGTCTCGATCTCCTGACCTTGTGATCCGCCCGTCTCGGCCTCCCAAAGTGCTGGGATTACAGGCTTGAGCCACCGCGCCCGGCCCAGCCATCTTTACTGTTGAAGTGAAATGAAAATGGCCTTTTTCCTTATTATAAGTGTACCATGTGCGTCTTTGAAAAGATTCATACAGGGCCGGGCACAGGGGCTCACGCCTGTAATCCCAGCACTTTGGGAGGCCGAGGCGGGCGGATCACGAGATCAGGAGATCGAGACCATCCTGGCTAACACGGTGAAACCCCGTCTCTACTAAAAAAAAAAAAAGATACAAAACATTAGCCGGGCGTGGTAGTGGGCGCCTGTAGTCCCAGCTACTTGGGAGGCTGAGGCAGGAGAATGGCGTGGACCAGGGAGGTGGAGCTTGCAGTGAGCCAAGATCACGCCATTGCACTCCAGCCTGGGCGACAAAGACTCCGTCTCAAAAAAAAAAAAAAAAAAAATATTCATACATTATATAAAGATATAAAGCAAAGAATCAACTTTTTAATCCCACCAACTGTTAGCATTTTATTCTGTGTCCTCTCAGGTTTCTTTTTTTTGTACAAATGCACACGTACAGATGGTAATTTTTAACTAAAAGTTGGACAGCACTGTACATTCTATTCTGCAGCCTGCTGTTTTCACGTAACAATGTGAGTCCATGGAGATCTGCTGCCTTGTTAATGCTGACAGTTTCCCTTATACGGATATGAGGTCGCACCTGAGAGGCCCATGTCTGTAAACACGGTGCCATCGTGAACTGAACGAGCTGGTGTCACGCGTGGACTCTGTCTCATGTGCTTTGTGGACGAAATATTAATGTGTTTGACTGTGGAGTACCACTCCAGCTCCCCTTTAGGTGTGACACAGTATGTGGGGTGTAAACCATATGATCTTTTTAAAAATCTCAAAAATTCTGAAACATATTCAGCCACAAGAGCTTTAACATAGATTTTGTGGATTTAATACAAAGTTTATGTAAGCAATTTCTTACTGATGGACAATGACAATAAATAGTATATAACTTTTATATTAAAAGTAATGCTGGGCCAGGCACTGTGGCTCACACCTGTTATCTCAGCACTTTGGGAGGCCGAGGCAGTAAGATTGCCTGAAGCTAGGCATTTCAGACCAGCCTGGGCAGTATAGTCAGACCTCGTCTCTACAAAAAATAAAAAGATAGCCAGGTGCGGTCTGTGTAGTTGCAGCTATTTGAGAGGCTGAGGCAGGAGGATTGCTTGAGCCCAGGAGTTTGAGGTTATATTGAACAATGATCATGCCACTGCATTCCAGCCTGGGCAACAGAATGAGATCCCATGCTGTAGTGAATATCCCTGTGTGTCATCCTGATCTACCCATGCAAGTACTCCTGAAGGTTAAGTGCTGATAAATATTGAGAACTTGCCTTCCAGAAAGATGTAACAATTACATTGCCACAAACTGTGTTTTTGTGTAGCCATTTTCTCACATCCTCACCAAAACCAAAATCACACAAATCAAATTGGTTAAAAAATGCATGTGTGTGTGTGGAGGGGGGTGTGGATTTTGCATTTCTGTAGTAAAGAATGAAATTCATCTTTTCATGTTTATTGGCCAGTTGTGTTTCCTCTCTTTGGATTGTATATTTGTATCTCTTGCCCATTTTTCATTGGGTCATTGTAAATTAGCAATATAAATTAGTTTTAATTTTAATAGAAATTAAATAATATAAATCAATTTTAAGGTTAATATAAATTTCTTTTTTTGTTGTTTTGAGACAGAGTCTTGCTCTTCTCCCAGGCTGGAGGGCAATGGCACGAACTCGGCTCACTGCAACCTCCACCTCGCAGGCTCAAGCCATTCTCCTGCCTCAGCCTCCCGAGTAGCTGGGACTACAGGTGCGTGCTACCACGCCCAGCTAATTTTTGTGGTTTTTTTTTTTTTGTTTTTTGTTTTTTTGAGACAGAGTCTCGCTCTGTTGCCCAGGCTGGAGTGCAGTGGCCGGGTCTCAGCTCACTGCAAGCTCCACCTCCCGGGTTTATGCCATTCTCCTGCCTCAGCCTCCCGAGTAGCTGGGACTACAGGCACCCGCCACCTCACCCGGCTAGTTTTTTTGTATTTTTTAGTAGAGACGGGGTTTCACCGTGTTAGCCAGGATGGTCTCGATCTCCTGACCTCGTGATCCGCCCATCTCGGCCTCCCAAAGTGCTGGGATTACAGGCGTGAGCCACCACGCCCGGCCTTGTGTTTTTAGTAGAGACGGGGTTTCACCATGTTGGCCAGGCTGGTCTTGAACTCCTGACCTCAGGTGATCCACCTGCCTTGTCCTCCCAAAGTGCTGGGATTATAGGCATGAACCACCGTGCCCGGCTATTAATAGACATTTCATTATAAATTAGCATTATAAATTAGTTCATTATATGTTTATAAATGAGTTTATCAATTAGCAATATAAACTTGTCATGTGTTGTAAATATTTTTGCAGTTTATGAGAGGTTTTTAAAAATTTTTAACTTTCTACATAGTAGTTTTATGTAGATACTGATGTAATAGTATTTACATAGTCAGATCTGTCATTTTCCTTTGCCTTATCTGACTTCAGTTTTCACATCTAAAATGTTTTTCCCTATCCTTACTTGTAAACCCTCAGTTTTCTTCAAGAACTGTTTTGTTTACATTGAAACCTTTAATCCATTTGAATTTTTTTTCAATGGGAGGTAGGAATGGAGCATTTTCCTCCCAGATAATGAGCCAGTTTTAATGCCATTTATTAGTGTGTCCATTTTTTACCTTGTTCCTCTTAAAAGACGCTTTGAGAGCTGTATGAAGAAGCCTGATGGCACCGAGCTAGGCCTCTCTAGAGGCTGGGTGGTGAAGACCATGGAGAGACGTAACAGTAACTCCTGCTCGGGGGCACCAGCCTCTCTGGGTGCCCGATGCTGGTGGTGGTTGTCACTGCAAGCAGGGCTAGCCAGAGTTGATGGACGAGTCTGCGCTGTCGTCCCTCTGTGGCATGCTGGGAGACAGCGAGCTGGGGAGGACAGGGAGAACAGAACGTGCTCACAAAGAGGAGGTAGGAAGGTTGGATCCCTGATGAGCCTTGGAACGGAGGTGGGGAGAAGCAAGGACGTGTGGAAGCAGCAAGGAGTGGAAGAGAGGGAGGCTGAGGGGAGGAAACAGAGTCACTGAGGCCAAGCGGCAGGAGCTCAACTGAAGAAATGAGATTGGTGGTGGGTTTTCTGTATATCGCCGGGTCTGACTGCCAATCTGCTGCCCCTCCAAGGCCTCAGTGGCTGTGGCAAGAAACGTCCTGCGGGGCTTGTAGGGTGGACACTGTACCCTCACATTTGGGCCATTTTTCAGGTGGAGCCTTTTGCCAGCTTGACCGAGGCCGTGCGGAGCTCCGTTCCCCGACTGCTCATCAACCGGGAGTTGGTGGGACCCTTGGCGTGGCATCCTCGCGGCAGGGACGTGGCCCAGCTGGGGGACGTGGTTGACAGTGTGGAAAGGCTAGTGGAGCTTCTGGGCTGGACGGAAGAGATGCGGGACCTTGTCCGGCGGGAAACTGGGAAGGTACAGACGCTGAGGAGGACCATCCAAGGGGCTGCCCTCCTCACTGCTCTAGGGTGTGGTCCATCTTGTATGGAGCCCCACTGGCTAACACGGTAACAGTCGTAACCGACGATGCTGTGAATCCTGCACCAGGTGCTACCTGGACCTGATTGGGTATCACTTTCAATACCTCCATTTAGAGATGAAGAAACAGATGCTAACAGGCCAAGCAGGGACATGGTCCAGACACTCAGGGCTGATGAGTCTGTACTCTTAACAGACTGTAGGCGTTATCTTCACTCCCTAAAGTAAAGCAGCCAACAGTGTTCCTCTAAGGCCTGGTATGTGATTCTGAGATGATACGGGTTAAAGAACTTTGAGAAGCTAAAGTTCTCTGCATCTGTGTGGGATGAAGGCTCCATTAGTGATGCTTTTCGGAAGTAATTGGTATGAGAGCCATTGATCGATTATAATCTGCTGAGGAAAGCCAAAGAGGCTCGATGCTTTCTTTCTAAGAGATTCCAAACCGCCTGTAAACAAGTGAAGTTACAGAAAATGCAGTTTCCCATGAGAATCATGTAGCATGTGTAGCCTTGATATTAAGGGTTTTCAGTGGGAGGTAGCATGAAGCATTTAAAGTCCAGCGTTGCCGGGCGCGGTGGCTCACGCCTGTAATCCCAGTACTTTGGGAGGCCGAGGCGGGTGGATCACGAGGTCAGGAGATCAAGACCATCCTGGCTAACACGGTGAAACCCCGTCTCTACTAAAAAATACAAAAAAAAAATTAGCCGGGCGTGGTGGTGCATGCCTGTAGTACCAGCTACTCGGAGGCTGAGGCAGGAGAATGGCGTGAACCTAGGAGGCAGAGCTTGCAGTGAGCCAAGATGGTGCCACTGCACTCTAGCCTGGGCGACAAAGCGAGACACCATCTCAAAAAAAAAAAAAAAAGTCCAGCGTTATGATTACAGGCAGATGTGACACTGTCCAAAGGGGATTTCACCAGTGTATTAGTGTGTTCTCATGCTGCCAATAAAGGCATACCTGAGACTGGGTCATTTATAAAGGAAAGAGGTTTAATGGACTCACAGTTCCATATGGCTGTGGGGGAAGACACAGTGGAAGACAAGGAGGAGCAAAGTCCCGTCTTCCACGGCGGCGGGCAAGAGGACGTGTGCAGGGGAACTGCCCTTTCGAAAACGGTCAGATCTTGTGAGACTGACTCACTACCACAAGAACAGCATGGAAAAGCCCCACCCCCATGATTCAGTGACTTCCACTTGGCCCATCCTGGACACGGGGGGGTTATTACAATTCAAGGTGAGATTTGGGTGGGGACACAGCCAAACTGTATCAACCAGAATATATCACAATTGATGCTCCTCTTGTCTTCCAAGGCAGGTGTCTTAGGAAATCCTGATCCTTTTTCCTCGTCCACAGCTGTGGCTGCCTCATGGCTCAGGGCCATGGGGTCAGCACTCTCCTCACCTCCACCAGTCCGAGACCTCCAACCTCTGGTCGCAGGCTGATTTTTTACCAATCATGGTCACTTCATTATGGTAGCGGGGAACCCAGGTAACAACGAGACTTAAACGCTGAGAGGCGAGTGCCTCCTGGCCAGCTCACAAGGCAGCAGAGGTCTTAGATCAGTCCAGCAGGCTTTTTTGAGGGAGCCCTTTCCTGCTCTGACTTCCTATTTTCTTTTTTTTGTAACGGAGTTTCACTCTTATTGCCCAGGCTAGAGTGTAGTGGCGCGATCTTGGCTCACTGCGTCCCCGCCTCCCGGGTTCAAGTGATTCTGCTGCCTCAGCCTCCTGAGTAGCTGAGATTACAGGCACAAGCCACCATGCCCGGCTAATTTTTGTACTTTTAGTAGAGACGGGGTTTCACCACATTAGTCAGGCTGGTCTCAAACTCCTGACCTCAGGTGATCCACCCGCCTCGGCCTCCAAAGTGCTGGGATTACAGGTGTGAGCCAGCATGCCCGGGCCCAACTTCTGTTTTCATAGAAAAGCAGATTGTAATTCTGGTAGCTCCTGTGGGGTTTTGGAAGTGGCCCAACAGGATTTGAACTGTGTAATGTAGTTTCACACAAATGTACGTAAAATGGGTTATGATTTTTTGTTTTTTAAAGAATTACTATCCAAGGGGTTACTTTTCCAAATAGTGGATGATTTTAAGCACACGAGCATCAGTACATCTTGATTTGGGCACTTCAGGTCCCTTCGAATGAGGCTCTCCATTTAGCCACCCTGCTCTGCCCAGGCCTGCTGGGATGCTCTTAGCCTGCACAGCAGCAGTATTTGCAGAATGCAGCTTGTTTTGTGAGATATTTTGCATGTTTGCAGCTAGATCTGTTTGACCAGAGATCTGCTGGCCTGCCTGGGTGTGTTAAGAGACAGCTGATACCCTCTGTCTTCTGTGTTCCAGCTTAATGGACCAGACAAATAGGATGATGGCTGCCCCCACACAATAAATGGTGACATAGGAGACATCCACATCCCAATTCTGACGAGACCTCATGGCTAATTTTGGTCAAACCAGAATATGTGAACTGAGTGGACACTGGAGGCTGCCACTGGAATGTCTTCTCAGGCCGTGAGCTGCGCTGACTGGTAGGGCTGTGTTTACGTTCAGGGCCTCCCCGTCACATATACAAAGGAGCTGCCTGCCTGCCTGTTTGCTGTGTTGAACTCTTCACTCTGCTGAAGCTCTTAGTGGAAAAAGCTTTCTTCTGTGACCCTCTTGAACTGAACAGACCGACTGGAATCCCAGACCGAGTTTGCTTTCTGTGCCCAGGTGAAGGGCAAGCTCAGCATCTGTTGGTTAGAAGATCCAGACTTGGGCTGAGCAGCCCCCAGCCCTCTTCATGTCCCAAAGTGTGGTCCTGAGACCCCAGTGCTGCACTTCTAGCATGTTGGTCTCCTTTAGTAGGGCTATTTTTAATGAGAGAAAATCTGTTATTTCCAACATGAAATACATTTAGTCTCCTCAAAGGGACTGCAAGGTTGACATGAGTTGGAAAGGGAACCCTGGAATACACGGCATCCCCTCTGTTGGAACAGTCTGAGGACTGAAGGCATTTGTCCCTGGATTTATTGGAGATGGCCCAGCTCCTCCCTCTGAAGGTGGTCACATTCTGTTGACTCTCCATACTCAGCCTCTCCTCCAGAAACACATGTTCCAGAACATTCCAGCACTTTCTATCTGGTCTCCTTGTCCCCACACTAGTCCCCCTCCCCCAGGGCTTCCTCCAGTGACAGTTAGAGCTAATCTCTGAGACAGGGAAGGCATTACTCACTTCAAACCCAGGCTGAGTCCTGGCCACCTGCTGGATTGTGACGAAGGCCCAGCTCTGATGGCTCGCCCTGTCAGGCACCAGCTGCTTCCTCCTGGGCTCTTACCCACATGCACATCCTCCTTCCTAGCATCAGATTACCTGCGTGTTTCCCCAGACAAAAGCACTTCCCATTCCTGAACCTTGCCTACCCTGGGCTGAGCTGATGGGAATAGATTTAATGACAGTGACTCCCAGGAAGGGGGTCCTGTGACTTTGCTGTGGTAAGAACAAAAGGTGGAACTGGTGACCTAGGAAAAGTGTTGAATTCTAAAAAGAATGAAATTAGTTTCTAACTCTAGTTAATGTTCCTTTTTTATTTTATTTTTTTGAGAGTCTTGCTCTGTCGCTCAGGGTGGAGTGCAGTGTTGCGATCTCAGCTCACTGCAACTTCCGCCTCCCGGGTTTAAGCGATTCTCCTGCCTCAGCCTCCTGGGTAGCTGGGACTACAGGTGTGTCCCACCACGCCTAGCACAGGGGCGTATTTGTAATAGAGACGGGTTTCACTGTGCTGGCCAGGCTGGTCTTGAACTCCTGGCTTCAAGTGATCCACCCGCCTCAGCCTCCCAAAGTGCTGGGATCACAGGCATGAGCCACTGTGCCTGGCCCCTTTATTTGATAATTTACACATATATTCACACATACGTTTTTGCCCAAAACTCTTTATTTCAAGATGACGTTTCTGTGGCTATGTGTGGTATGTGGTATAAATCTCAATCTATGGTCACACAAGGGGCATTTTCCTTCTTGTAAGTGCAGTCTAAACCAGTAGGAAGGAGGTTTAATTGCCAAAACCAGTAAGAACTTGGGCACTGTGGGTACTACAGTTGGCAGGTGAATGAGGACCAAGGAGAATGTCTAAGAGGCCTCCAGCCCTGCGCTCGGTGAAGACAGGACAGAAACAACAGAGCATACATACCTTGGAAGTGTGTGTCCTGACATACTCGTATAGAAAGTTCTGACAGGTTCTTTCTCCCTGGGAAGTGCAGCACATGCCCCAACACACTGGCTCTGCCAGCGTGCCCATCCCAGATGTGCTTGCTTTGTGCACACCCACACCCAACCCCCTGCCCTCCCATATGCTCTTCTGTGTGTCCAGGTAGGCCCTGCCCTCAGGCAGCAGCTTCTGAACACATTCCTCTTGGCACAGACAAAAGAATACTTTGTCTGTGGAATTCAAGGCTGAGCCCTGAGTTCTAGCACAAGAAGACCATTGCAGTCCAGAGATAAGAAACTGGACCAGAGGCAAATCATGAGCAGAACCTTGGGAGTAAAGAGAAGGGGTTTCTAAGATGGAGAGAGGAGCGTGGAGCCAGTGGGATGTGTCTTCCCCAGGTTGCAACCCCAAGGAAGTCTCTGGAAGCAGCACCAGTTCTGATGGGAGAGCAGAAGAGCTGCTATCCTCAGTCAGGGTCCGAGTCAGGGTCTGAGGAGAGCTGCTGCTCCATAGTCTCGCACATGGCATCCTGCAGGGACGTAAGATGACCCTGGGGACTCATCCCCATTGGCTGGATGACTCTGTTCCTGTGGGGGAAAGGTGCAATGGGGCTGGGGAAGGGGCCCAGTTGGCCAGGCAGGGGTCCTGCTCACCCCTGGCTGCTACCTTCTTCTTCACCAAGTAAGCTGCTCTCATTTACTGGGGAAGCCTGGTTGGACCTTCCGTTAATTGGGCCCAAATCCTAACTGCTACCTCATGGCTTTAAGCAGTTTCTTAATTTAGACATCTAAATTGGCTTTAAGCAGTCTGTTCATTTGGACACTGGGCCATCTCCAATAAGTGTAGCGACGTTAGACGGTCTCCTTTTTTTTTTTTTTTTTTGAGACGAAGTCTCACTGTCGCCAGGCTGGAGTGTAGTGGCGCAATCTCAGCTCACTGCAATCTCTGCCTCTCAGGTTCAAGTGATTCCCCTGCCTCGACCTCCCAAGTAGCTGGGACTACAGGCGCCCACCACCATGCCCAGCTAACTTTTTTTTGTATTTTAGCAGAGACGGGGTTTCACCATGTTGGCCAGGATGCTCTCGATCTCCTGACCTTGTGATCCACCTGCCTCAGCCTCCCAAAGTGCTAGGATTACAGGCGTGAGCTGCCATGCCCGGCCTTAGACAGTCTCTTAATTTCTCTGGGCCTCAGTTATCATCTGTAAAATGGGCACAATACTGATCTCAATATACCCATCCCCTGGGGGGATTTCCTCCAGGGCAAGTGATTTCAAACATCAGCAATGCGACCTAACACCAGGATCCTAAGCTCTCCTCTGATCCTACCTCCTGGGGCTCACAAGACAGGATGTGGGTCAGCTCTCCCTTCTCCCAGCTACAGGCCCCTCCTCCTCATGCCACACACCTGGAGAGCTTGTCAAACATGGTCACCAGCTTCATGGCCTCATGCTCCTTCTGCTCCTCCGTCATGCCCTCCATAGGGTTAGGCGGCTTCTCCTCCACCCTCCCGGTCACCGGGTTTATGCTGTTTCCCAGCAGATGGAATGTGGGGAACGCATCAGTGACTCTCCAGGACAGGAGGCCACCTACTTTCCCAGTGGGGTGAGGTGGGCAAGGCAACTGCAGGAAGAGGCCTCCCTCCAGAAGCGGCACTGGTAACCAGCAACTGCCACCTGCCACCTTCTGGTATCCCAGATAGCACTTAGGGACAGGTGCTTGATTCTGGAAGGTCTTGCCCACTGGTCATCCTGTCCCACCCTACAGGGGTCCACATGGATGTGGAAGCAGGGACTAGGGGGCTGTGAGTGGAGACCCGAGGGGGTGTTGGGGGCACACACCTGGCCTTGGCTTCCTTGTACTCATCTGTGTCTGTGTCCTCATCCTCCGAGTACTGGCCCTCAGGCCGGCCTCCTGCCATGAGGCCCCTGGCAGCCAGAAGGCCAGCAGCATTCCCATAGCCCGTGTACTTGATGAATCGGGGTACTGGGGGACAAGGCAGAGGTCAGTGTGCAAGCCTGGCTGAGGTAGGGGGGCTGGGACCCGGATCTCCATAACTCACCACTCTCAGAGCACAGGACAAACAAGAACTCGGCGGCCACTCTCTTCACATCTGTGTCCAGGTGTGTCATGAGGCGGACAAGCTTGTTTCGCAGCATCTCCCCAACCTCAGGCCGTGTCCTCACATCCCGCAGAGGGGGCAGCACCTGGGGAGGTGGCCGTCCCTAAGCTTGGGCTTGGTCTGTGATCAGGGCCGAAACCACATCCCCCAGGAGTGCCAGCTCCTCAGTCTCATACCTGGGCCTTCAGGAACTTCCTGGCTGGGCGGTGCATCCGGGCACATTCGGTCAGCACGCTCAGCACGGGAGCTACGCTCTCCTTCAGCCTGTGTGTCTGTAGGGGAGCCTCTGTCACCGTGGCTGTGCCCCTGCCTAATTTGAGACTGGCGCAGTTACACCCCCCACCGCCCCTTCCCACCAACACACACAGCAGCTGGTCCTGGTGGCAGGGTTTGGGAAGAGGCCCCTCTGCAGTTAGTCAGCGGAAGGCCAAGAGTGGGTGGTGGGTGTCTGTGTCACTTTTGAAAAGGACGGGCACAGAACCTCACTCAGAGGTACTTGTTGCAAGCTTTGTGACTTGGGAGAAATAACTGCTTTAAGTCTAATTACCTCAACTATAAACCAGGGCTGGGAAGAAAACACAAAGCAATTAAAGCTTTAGACTGGCACACACATTGCCCTCAGATGTTGGTGGCAAAAAGAAACAAGAACCGAATCCCCGCTCTGGGTACTTCATGGACAGAGAGCAGGGAGTTCCTGACCCTCCGAGCATAATGTGCCTGGACCCCAGCACCAGCAGCGGCAGCGACAGCGGCAGCGACAGGCACAGACAACCCCCCAGCTGTGCGTCCAATGCCAGCTCCCTACCCTGACTGGCTCGCATGCACCACGTGTGTCCCCTGCTTAGGCAGGTAGATTCCCGAGAGGTCTCCTAAATCTCGGTTTATTGTGCTCCAGCCTGCTTTCTGCAAGCTCCTGGAGGATGGTTAGAGCCCTAGCTGTCCAGATGCCCTGTAGTGCAGTCACAGGAATCAGAGGGAAGCTTTGATATGAGGTTCCTATGGGTCTCCTCAGGATGTTGAGGGACAGCTATGCTTGTAATCAAGGGCTGCCTGTGTCTGAGTGTTAAAAGCAGGGACTCGGGGGCTTCTCAGGACCACTCAATAAAGATCCACAAAGATTTAAGAAGTGAAACCTTCAAGTATGTGAAAGGCGTCCCCATGCTTCTCATGAAGGAAGGGTCTAGCTTGTTGCCAGGCTGGAGCACAGAACAGCCGGAAGAATCGCCCGTATCACACCACCATGATTTCCACTTACCAGTGTGGACAGTGTAAAAGCACTGACCACAGCTGTGCAGGAGAACCAGTGCCAGAGCCACTGAGGGAGCCTGTACAGCCATCCCCAGCCTACCTGGTGCAAACGCTTCTCTAGGAAGATGAGGAGGGCACGAATCACATCCATATTAACTCCCATGAACTCCACGGAGTCTCCGTGTGGCTCCAGGGTGAGGAGAACATCCAGACACTTGAGAGGCAAGTTCCCCAGGAGGTTCACTGCGTGGCTGGGGACAGATGGAGGTGGGTGTCTCAATAGGGCTAATCCCTTAGCACAGATGCAATCTTTGTGCCCCCACTGAACCACACATTACATGAGCTGGCGTCTGAGGTCCCAAAGGGGCAGCACTGGGGACCAAAGCCAAGGGCAGGGACTGATTGAGAGGCACTGCCACTCAGCTGCACAGTGGGGTCCCCTGGGGAAGTGGGCACTGAGACACCCTGCCTCCCCTACCCTGTCTGGGCCAAAGCGCCAGGCCACCTCTGGAAACCACACCAGCCAAGGGGCAGGTGGACCAAGAATGGGGACAAGGAGCCAATGTGCCCTAGTAAATACCACACTGTCTGTTGCCACTACCCAAGGCCCAGGTGGCACATTCCTGCCCCCAGATTCATGGCTGTTGTCCTGGCCACATATTGGAAGCACCCAGTATTCTCTGGAAACACACCGATGTCCAGTCTCACTCACCCAGACAAAGTCAGACCCTCTAGGGTGGGGCCTGGGCTCTCAGGTGGTTCTGGTTCACGGCCAGGGTTGAGGACGACCATCTAAACATGTGGACATGCTTCCCTCCCAGAAAAAGCCCCATCCTCACCCATGGAACTCCTCTGTGCGGTCTCCAGCAGTAGCAATCATCACACTGTGCCGGAGAAGGGTCCCCAGGTGTCGGTAAAGAGCAGCGTCTTCCTGACCAAAGAAAGAAGGGTTCCTGTGAGGAGCCCCACTCATCCCACTGCTGCCTGCTGAGGCTCTACTGTCTGTTGCACTCCAGGACTGTGTGGCAATGACTGTGCACCTCCTGTACTGCACACTAGGTCCCCTGGGGTCTCCTAGGTGACTCTGGCTAGTGCTGGGGGCAAAAGATGACCACTGCTGTCTTCCTAAAAACTCCGTGAGTATCCTTCTAAGAGTACGTCCCTGACTAGGAATGTTAACACGCACCCTTGGGATGAAGCCACACTCTGTCTCAGCCCCACTCACAGCCTCATGGTGGAGGATCTCTTACAGTCTCCCTGGAGAGCGCACAGCCCCCTGCCAGGCAGCAAGAGCCAGAAGGGGCCTCTACTTCCCTCAGAATCCTTCCCTAAGGTCCCAGCCCAGAACTGGCATCTCCTTGGCCTTGTCCCAACACGCTGAGAGGTCCTGTCCTCTCCATGTCTGACACCCAGAAACCTGAAGGTACCCAGTGGGAAGCAGGTCCAGGAAATGTTGGAGCTGAGTTGAGACCCATCCATGGGTTGAGGTCAGCGCTCACCTCGTCCACCTCCCCCTTGATGGAGTCGAGGGTGATGTTGAAGAGCACTTTGAGGATCTCCATGGCCCGCTCAGTCTCTTGGGAAGGAAGGAGCTTGGGTGGGTTCCCTTCAGGAGTTACCCCCAGCGTCAGCTCCAGTGTGTCAGTCAGCAGATGCACTCCTTTCAGTTCCTGAAACAGCTGCTGGCGCACATCGGTGCGGAGTGCCGTTAGCAGGAAGAGGAGCCTCAAGTCAAAGAACTGGACATCGTGGGGGAAGCTCCTCTCACGGTACAGCCCCACACGCTCTGTGAGCTTCACCACTAGGCGGGCCTCTGCTGCCAGCATCTGTGCCACAGGGCTGCTGAGCACGAGGTTGCACAGGCACTTGAGGGACTCCAGTACAACATCCATGTCGGGGGAGTCTGGGACGGACCCCTCAGAGCCAGAGATGTCAGCATAGCAGGCCAGTGCCTGCAGGCTCTGGCGGCTGGTGAACGGGTCCAAGCAGCTGCGGTCCCGCGACAGGATTCGGACACTCTGCAGCCAGGTGACACGGTGGGAGGGTGGCAAGCCCTGTTCCAGGACGGAGACCAGCAGCTCCGCCAGTCTCTGTGGGCAGGGAGAAGAGCGGCTCCACCAGGCCCCTCTTCCTGGGGCCACCCGTCCCTGTCCCTTTACCCCTCGGGCCATCACCCACCTTCCGGTCCTCCTGTTGAGCATCATCAAACGTGAAGCTCTGGGAGTGCTGCACAGAGAACGAGTGAATTCAAGTCCACAGAGGGGCAGTATCCGCGCCCGCTGACGGGGGCGGCCTATTGGCCTCTAACTCAGGCAGCAGCCACTGCTCAGAAGGGGTGGCAGGGTCTACACTCGCCCCATCCCTACACACCTGCCACCCAACGGGTGCACCCCAGACACTCTCCCCCCAACACTGCATCCCTGACCTGCCACCCCACCCCGCCGCGTCCCCTCCGCTTGCTGACACAACCCCTGCCTCACCCACACCGTCCCGACCACCCGCGCACGACCCTGCCCCACGCCCTCCGTGCCCGCCCCCCGGCCTCAGGCGGCCGCTCACCTCCTGGTTGTACGACCGCAGAGCTTCCATAATCACATCCTCCTTCCCCGTCTCCACGGCTTCTGCAACCGCCCGGGGCTCCATGGCGCCCCCGGAACCCGGCGCGGGGAAGGCGGGACGGGCGCTTCCTCCACGTTCCGGGCCGCAGTTCGCCGGCCCCGCCCTGGCCCAGAAAGCCCCGCGCCAGCGCGCGGGGGAGGCCGGGACGGGACGCGGCGTCTGGTGGCGCTTCCAGGGGGCGCGGCCTGAGGCAGCACTGGCGGCTCCGAGGTTGTAAGACCCGAGTCGGGCCGAGTCGCCCTGAACCGAACTGACCCCCCTCCTTGTGACCGGGGCTTCTTGGGCCGGAATTTCCAACCGGAAAGGATCTCAGCCCCCACCGCGCCCTGCCACACACGCAGTGACGCCCCTCGAGCTCCACAGAACCGACGGGATGCACACGGGAAAGCCGAAGTGGAAAGGACTTTTCAGTCCCGGGCCACTGGGTTCGTTAGGCGTTCGCTGGGGAATGCAGGCGAGCGGGACTCCCAGGTCCCTGCCTTTGTGGAGCTTATGTTCCAGAGGGGAAGGCAGACAAGGAAAAACAAAAGGACATGAGGCGGTCACAGGGCTGTGCTTCAAAAGAAGCAAACGGTGACTGCTGGGCTGCAAGGGCTGTGAGGAAGTGCTGTTTTTGCTAACCCTGGACGATGGGAAGCGAGCCGGGAAAAGACTGGAGGAGCCACTCCAGGCAGAAGGAGCAGCACTTGCAAAGGGGGAAGGGCCGTGAGGGGCCGAGAGAAAGGGGAGCAACCCAGTCTGGCCTGGACTCAGTTCCCTCTTGAGAAGCAAAGCCCCTGCGTGTCCGTTTCAGTGGCCATCAGGATTCAGTGACGCACAGGAAGCGCGTCCACTCGCTCTTCTAACAAGTGCCCGGGAGCAAAGGCGTCTACGGTCCCCACTCCCCGTGCCGCCTCCCAGTCTCTCTCCCGCTTCAGTTTCCTGTAGTGCTTTCTGCACACCTGTATTCGACGCGGCGCGCACTCGCAGGCACTAGCGAGGCGCCGATCTCCACTTGACAGAGGAGGCACCCGTGCCGCCTCCACACCCAGGGCTCCTCGCGGGCTTCTGCCCGAGGGGCCTGCTCCTCCCTCATAACCCGCCTGTGACTCCTTCCTAACCGTTAGGACCTAACGCACGGCAGCGTCTTTCCACCACCGTGGTCTTGGCACTGAGCAAGCAAACGGCCCCGCCCCACGTTCACAGGAACAACAAACAAACGTCACATCCGCGGTGCTGCTGTAATCCCAGCACCTTGGGAGCCCGGCAGGCGGGGGCTGCAGTGAGCTGAGATCGCGCCACGGCCTGGGCGACAGTGCTGAAAAGAAGTCACAGCAACGCCCATCGCTTCCGCGCCCCGCGGTCCCCACCCTCGGCCCTAAGCCGGAAATCAGCGAGCCCGACGCGGAAGGAGCTGAGCCGTCTAGGGGCGTGGTTGGCGCGGAGGCGGGGCCATCGCTGGCGGGGGGCGGGGCCGGAAGCCCGTTCCCCGTGACTGCGCCACGTCTGAGGCGGCTGTGGCCGCGTCGGTGCTGGCGTCGAGGAGCCGGGGCAGGGCGCGATGGCGGACTGGGCTCGGGGTGAGCGCGGGAGAGCGGAGCCGTTGGGGGCAGGGCCGGGCGGGAACCGACGCCGCTGTCTGTAGAGCCGCGTGCGCCTGCGTCTGGCCTCGGCTAGGAGGACTCTGTCGGGGGGGCGGATTCGGAGCCTTCCGGGTCCCAGCAGGGCCGGGTTTCGGCCGTCACTGCCGCTAGGAAGGACAGCGGGCGGGGCGGGCCAGCAGCTCCAGCGAGGGGTCGCGCAGCTGCGGGATCCCCCCACTCCCCGCCGCTCCCTGTGAGATCGTTTTGCATGGGTTCGGGGTGAGCGGGAGTCTCGGCATTCGACAGGTCCCGAGGCCAGGCCCTCGAGGTAGAGGCTGGGCTCCGCTGGTGTCCAGGCAGGCCTCTACTAACTAACTTGGGCCTCGGGGGCCCCATTTCCCCTCCTGGAGCCCGTGTTCTTCTCTGCAAAGTGGGATATTGATGCCTGTCTTTCTGCGTTATGATGATTAAAGGAATTAATGAACATGAAGTGGTTGGAAGGACGCTGGCATCCCTTCCTTACGTTGAAGCTAGGGAGGAGGTGGTTCTCACCCACCTGAGGTGACAGAAATTCCTTATCACCTGGCCCAGCCTGTCACAGGCCAGGCGTCTGCAAGCGCTGTGCTGTGGGTGTTGCAGGAAGCCCTGTGTGGGATGCAGACCAGGGATCACGCTCCTGGTTGACCTCAGCTCCCATCTCGGGGAATTGGGAACTTAGCTGTTTTCTGTGCAGTAAAGGGCCTTCCCAATGTTCTGTCCTGGTTCCTTGCCACCTCTTCAGGACCCAGCTCAAAGGTCGTCCCTGCAGGAGCCTTTCTGCTGCCCTGCTGGGTACTTTTCCCAAGTCTTTCCTATGCTCTTAGCAGAGTTTACTCTTTTTCTATAAGAATGGGCTCCACATACATAGATGGCGACCTCCCTGGATGCAAGTGTCACATCTTACTAACATCCCAGGGCTGGGTCCAGTTTTTGCTACACAGTCTCAGAAGGTGCTGGTTGGACTGGACCCATTGTGGGTGCTGGCCCATCCCCACCTGGATGTGTACACAGGACACGTGTTCACATGACAGGCCCTTGCACACATCGTCCTTTATGCAGCCTGTCTCACATGTGCAAGATTCACCTGCTGGAACCTAGGTTAGGGCCCCTAGATTTCTGAGTCACCCAGTTGTGGTTGGAGTGAGAGGGATCAGGGGCCTCGGTCACCGATGGATGCAATCCCTCAGCCCCTCTCTTTTCTCAGCTCAGAGCCCAGGCGCTGTGGAAGAGATTCTAGACCGGGAGAACAAGCGAATGGCCGACAGCCTGGCCTCCAAAGTCACCAGGCTCAAATCGGTCAGTGGTGGTCTGTCCTCTTACCTCCACCTGCTGCCCTTGGGGAATGGGGATCAGAGGGAAGGTAGAGGGCCCAGAGGAGTTTCAGGCAGTCTTCCATCCTCCTTTTTCGATTCGTGGCTGTGCTCACCTGCATGAGGCCCCAGCTGACACCTGGACCTTCCTGCTCCTGCCCCACTGTGTCTGGCAGAGTTGTTGGCAGGGTTTGTCTGGTCTGGGAAGGGTGAGTGCTGTATTATGTGTCTGCTCTGGCCCAACCCTGTCCCTCTCTGTGTGCTGAACAGCTCGCCCTGGACATCGATAGGGATGCAGAGGATCAGAACCGGTACCTGGATGGCATGGTAAGGGCCCACGGTGTGCGCGAATCAGTGCCCTGCCCCCAGCACTACCTGCTACAGAGCTTGCAGTGTCTCCTTCAGCACTGGTGCGGGTGGGCGGTCAAATCACCACTTCTGTGTGATCTTACTGGGATTCTTCCCTTAGGACTCGGATTTCACAAGCATGACCGGCCTGCTTACAGGGAGTGTGAAGCGCTTTTCCGCAATGGCAAGGTCCGGACGAGACAACCGGAAGCTTCTATGTGGCATGGCTGTGGGTCTAATTGTGGCCTTCTTCATCCTCTCCTACTTCTTGTCGAGGGCAAGGACGTGAGCCAGTGGGAGCTGGTGTCTATGGGTGCCAAGGGCAGCCAGGGTCTTCCCTGCCTGGCGTCTTGGGCTCCAGAGGACTTACCTACAAAGTAGTCCTTTGAAATTATAATCGTGGGCCAGGAATCTTCTTTCTGTGTGGCAGGAGGTTGCGGCTGCCTGTGACCTGATGAGCTCATGTTGGCTGGTCCCATGTGTGGAAGGGACTCCCTCGGGGAAACCAAGGCCCAGCCCCTCCCCCCTCCCCCAGGTGCTAGAGACACAAGCAGAGCTGGGGCCACAGCGTGTCTGGAGGAGCCAGGTCTAAGCAGAGCAACTGTTGAATCCCAGTCGTGGCCACCTGTGGCCTGCAGCCTTTCTCCCAGCTCTTGGGACTCTGACATCTGAAGGCTCCACGGCCGTGTCCTTGTCTGGATGAGGCCATGTCTGTGATCCAAGGTTCCTGAAACTGACACAGGAAGGGGCTGTGAACCCTAAGTGGGTGCTATCTCCTCCGACTGAGGCTTCTCAGCCTGGAGATGGCAGTTACTCCTGGCCATGGTTGCTGAGCACGGGAGACCAGTGCGGGCCACCCTGCTGTGAGTTCTCTGTGCCTACTCTCCAGTCCTGCGGATGAAGTGAGACCCCTGGGGAGAACGGGTTGTGGATGAAGGAGTGGACTGCGGCCTTGGCCTAGCCACTGGGCGGGATCCTTCTGGGTCATGTGACTGTGTATCCAGGAGCAGAAACTTGTATTCTCAGGATTCAGGATCTACCCAGCACCAAAGATGTGTTTTCAGAAGAACAGACCTAGAAATGGGCCTCTCTGGCATTTCAGAGTCAGGCAAAGCAGGCAGGGCCGGGGAGCCACTGTGGGTCTACACAGGAAGGTTCCTGAGAGGCTATCAGTTGTTGCCATCTAGCTTGCTGGTAACTCTGGCGCCTCCGCCAAGCCCTGCCAGACTCCTCTGGCTGTGATGGCGTTCTGTGCCATCCTCCTTGTCCCCAGCCTCTGCAGGATGCCCTCCCTACCCACCTCTCCCTGGGCCTTCCATGTCCACTGGGCTGGGCTCATGTTCAAACAACTGGACTGGCAGGGCAATGGCTTTTCCCCACCTCAAGATGAGGTCCTTGCCCCCTTGGCCTAAAAACACCTTCAAAGCATGAGCCGTGTGCTTCTGTGCCCTTCTCTGTCCTGTTCCAATGCCCTTCTCTGTCCTGTTCCAATCTTCTGCCTCCCAGTCATTCCCTGGGAACTATGGGATCACTGTCCCCCAAGCTATGTGGCCACACCGTGTGTCCTGTCAATGCAGAACTGCCTCTGAGCTCCAGGCTGACCACAGATCAGCCACAGCCTGGTACCTGCAGCCCCACTTTGCTCACCCTTCCCCTCCCCTCCTTCTTCCTTCCACACAGCAAGCCCACCTTTCTCCATGCACGCTCACCATAGCCCCCTTCTTTGTGACCTGAGCCCTCTTTTGTACCTGGCTGAGGCTGTCAGCCTCCTGGAAGAGTGGGGTCCACCTTCTTCCCCTATGCAGCGCGAGCTCACTTCTCACCCAGCAAGGTGGACTCACCTGCCTCCTTGTCTCTGGGGCTTTGCTGTTGCCCTGAAACCTAGCTGGGCTGGTCTTGCTCCCAGCTTGCTTCCCCCTTCTTGGATGTCCATTTGCAGGCCCCTGTCGTTCCTCAGGCACCAGTGTGCTTGTCTGCCACGGCGAGCTAATGAGGGGCTTGTACCCTGGTCACCAAGCATGGTAGCAGCTGCCTGTGTTGGGTCTCCATCTGGTCACTGCAGGTGCCAACCCTTTATCTCCCATATTTTCCTGGGCCATGGAGGGCTGACCTCCATTTTGGGGAATGTTGTTGAGCTGTGGTAACCAGCTATACCCCAGGTGCTCTTCCCATGGTGGTACCCGCCCACCCTGCTGATGAGAACTAGGAAGTTAGGCTGCATCTCGGACTGGCCTTCGCTGGAGAGGTGCTTTGCTGTCTCGGAGACTCAGTCACTGTGTTCCCTCCCCACCTGTCTCCATGGCTGTTTGCAGCCCTCCCAGGTAATTTGGGGTCTGGGCTGGACTTCCTTTGTGGTTTGCTTTTCTGCTTCTCACTCTTGTTGTATTAAGAAGGATTCCATAAAGGGAGAGTGGCAACCCTGCTGCTGCTGTGCCCGACCAGAGTTCTTGAGGGGCCCTGACCCTAACCCTCCAGCTCAGCCCTGTGCACCTGACCCTGTAAATGAGTGGGGTTTGCTGACTATAATCCCTGACACCAGTAAAACCCAAAGGAATCTTGGGGACTCAGTATGAGAGCCAGGGTTACCCACTCTGCCAAGTAAGGACAAACTGCTAGGCTGTATCCCATAATTTCAGGATGAGAAACGTTAACAATAAAATTTTGTAGTACATATAACCTCATTAAGAACTAATCACAGGCCGGGCGCGGTGGCTCAAGCCTGTAATCCCAGCCAGCACTTTGGGAGGCCGAGACGGGCGGATCACAAGGTCAGGAGATCAAGACCATCCTGGCTAACCCGGTGAAACCCCGTCTCTACTAAAAAATACAAAAATCTAGCCGGGCGAGGTGGCGGGCGCCTGTAGTCCCAGCTACTCGGGAGTCTCGAGGCAGGAGAATGGCGTGAACCCGGGAGGCAGAGCTTGCAGTGAGCTGAGATCCGGCCACTGCACTCCAGCCTGGGCGAGAGAGCGAAACTCCGCCTCAAAAAAAAAAAAAAAAAAAAAAAAAAAGAACTAATCACATGGTCTCTGTTGTCCTGATTTCCTTGGGATTTGAGGGAATTTTGTCTGCAGCTCACCCTGGTTCATAGGCTGGCCATGGGCACTGGTGCTGTAAACCCTGTCCCTTATTCACCCCATCAGGATTGACTTTGGGCAGAGCAGCCACAGACTCACCTGAAAGGGGCCTGCCCTCCACACCTGTGGTTATTTCTCGTCAGGTGGGACGAGAGACTGAGGAAAGAAAGAAGACACAGAGACGAAGTATAGAGAAAGAACAGTAGGACCAGGGGACTGGCACACTCAGCATTCGAGGACCTGCACCGGCGCCGGTCTCCGAGTTCCTTCAGTGTTTACTGATTACTATTTTCACTATCTCGGCAAGGGGAGTGAGGCAGGAGAACAGGGTGAACAGAGTAATGGTGGGGAGAAGGTCAGCAGGAAAACATGTGAGTAAAGGAATCTGCATCATAAATAAGTTCAGGTACTGTGCCCGGATGTGCATGTAGGCTAGATTTAGGTTTCTGTTTACCCAAGCATCTTAGTGTAGCAAAGAGTAACAGGGCAGTATCACCACTAGCATATTTCGCTTCTAGCCACAGGGCAGTTTTCTCCTGTCTTAGAATAAACGAATAGTTGGCTTTACACCGAGACATTCTGTTCCCAGGGATGTGGGAAACAGGCCTTCCTCTTTTACGAATCCTCCTCAGCACAGACCCTTTATGGGTGTTGGGCTGGGGGACAGTCAGGCCTTCCCTTGCCAGGAGGCCGTATCTCAGGCTGTCTCAGTTGGGGGAATCCTTGGACAATACCCAGGCGCGCTCGGGCGGAGGTGCCTGTGGCTTTCCGCAGTGCAGTGTGTCCCTGGTTAATAGAGAATGGGGAATGGTGATGACTGTTACCAAGCGTACTGTCTGCAGACGTAGTGTTAAGGCACATCCTGCACAGCCCTAAATCCCTTAAACCTGGATTCCATACAGCACATGTTTCTGTGAGCACAGGATTGGGGCTAACGTTACAGGTTAACAGCATCTCAAAGCAGAACAATTTTTCTTTGTACAGATCAAAATGGAGTTTCTTTTGTCTTCCTTTTCTACGTAGACACAGTAACAATCTGATCTCTCTTTCTTTGCCCCACACTCACCCACTTCCTGCTGTGTTACCTTTCCCTGCCCAAGTTCCTGAAACGCAGATGGGGTTCCTGATAGCATCACCACTTTGGGAATAAGGGAGGAGGCCGGGCGCAGTGGCTCATGCCTGTGATCTCAACACTTTGGGAGGTCAAGGTGGGTGAATCACAAGGTCAGGAGTTCGAGACCAGCCTGACCAACATAGTGAAACCCCCGTCTCTACTAGAAATAGGAAAATTAGCCGGGTGTGGTGGCACGTGCCTGTAGTCCCAGCTACTCAGGAGGCTGAGGCAGGAGAATCACTTGAACCTGGGAGATGGAGGTTGCAGTGAGCTGAGATTGCACCATTGCACTCCAGCCTGGGTGACAGCGAGACTCCGTTTCAAAAAAAGAAAAAAAAAAAGTAAACATAAAGTGCTTCGAATCCACAGTCTGGCATGATCACAGCTAAGTGAGGGTCAGCAGCTGTGTTGTGCTTTATACAGGTGCAGGTGATGGTCCTACCAGTGTGTCTGTCAAGGTCACCTGTCCTAAAATGACTTCCCTGAAAGGCTGAGTTGAAATCCAGCCTCCACTTCTTGAGGCCTGGCCTTGGACTCCTGGACAGCCTCTGGAGATCCCCCTCTTCAGGCCCAGCGGACACCCCACCTTCCCTGTCCATGTACTCCTTGTACTCCCTGTATTACCCATTGATGTGTAACAGGTCACCCTAAAGCTTCACTTAAAATGCAATGATTTATCGTGTCTCATTGAATTGGAGACGGGGCACTGCCTCAGGGTTGGCCGTCTTTGCTCTATAATGTTGAGGCCTCATTGGGAGATGTGGTCCTGGGGCTGCCTTCACTTGAAGGCTCACTCACAGGTCCAGAGGTCAGTGCTGGTGAGTGGAGGGCCTGGCCGGGCTGAGTGCCTGAGACGAAGCGTTCAGTCTCGCCATGGTTGGGCTTCCTCACAACATGATGGCTGGTGCTGGAGCAAACATGGACACGTGGCAGAAGGGTGGGGGTAGGGTGGGCTCTGGTGTCCAGGCAGAAGCTGTTTCCTTGGCATATTGTATGCCTGGCCTCAGAAGCCTGGTGGCATCACTTTTGCCTCATTATTCAGGAGACCCACAGGCTGCAGCGTCTTTGGGTTCAAGGCAGAAGGCATCAGGAGGGACAGTGTGGAGCAGGGTGTCCGAGGCACTCAGGCCCTCCCATCTCTCCCCACACAGACCCTGGGCCCTCCCCTCTCTCCAAGCTGACCCTGGGCCCTAGAAGCCAGGATGGGACCCATGTGAGCTGACAGCGCATGGGACTCCTTTCTGGAAAAGCCTGATCTTTTCACCAAGACAAACCCTCATTAATGCAATGTGATTTATTAAATAATTTCGGCACAGCAGGAAACAAGATTAACATATGGTAAAATAGCATAGAAAAAAAGTAACTGGTTACAATTGCCCAAACAAGCGTGCTCTGCCCTGCAGGGCCAGGCTGGCCCAGCCCAGCTGGTGAAGACAGCCTCGAGCTCTGTGGCCTGGTGGATCTCTTGTGCAGACGCTGGGCATGGTGGAGCTACTCCACATCAACCACCAGGGGAATCATGTAATCAGAGTGTTTGATGCCAAAGGTGACAGCTGGGGCGCAGGGCTTGGTCAGGGTCACCTGGGAGAGGAGGGGCTATGATAAGAGCCAGCACCGCTGCCCCCACCTGCAGGTCTCTGCCCTCGTTGGGGCTGGGCTGCTGTCCTTCCGGAACCTGGGGCCAAGGTGGCCAGCAGCTGTGCTCCCAGTTTGAACACAGAGGACTCAGCAGTAGTAGCTGTCACAGTGTCTAGGGAACAGGGCAAGGCCTCTGCTTCCTGTCCCTGAAGGGTTACCTGTGGGGCTAGTGCTGGAAGTGTACAGGTGCCTCCCCTGCCCACCCACCCCTCCACCCCCTCTTGGCTGTGTCCTTCCATAGCCTGACGCTGTTTCCCCTTGTCTGTGTCCCAACCCCCCTCCCCTGCTCTTCCCTACACGTTCCTCTGGGTCAGGCCCCCGACCCCACCCTGACCCCTCTGAGCTGTGCTCTTCCTGCACCTTCTCAGGGCTGTGGGTGCCTGGTCCTGGCTTGAGGGTCTTGTCCCCTGGGGGCTCTACACGGGCAGCCATGGTGTACTGCGGAGCCTTGAACTTGGTCACCTGCACGTCAGTCTGGTGGTAGGCTGCGGGACCTGGGGTCTGAGAGGTAAAGGAGGCTCAGACAAACTCGGCCTACCCAGGGCGTGTGGCCCTAGAGGACAGGGAGCAAACTTGGACGGAGGGTCTCAGGCCAAGTCAACAAGGTCAGCTACAAGTTGGTGCCCGTGCATCAGGGTCCCCTTCTGTCTTCTGTCACACTGTGGAGACCACACCCCCCTGCTTGTGGGGCACCTTCTCATGCGTGGGTCGCTTCCTCCATTTCAGCCTCATGCTGGCAATGACCTCCCCCGTGTGTGCCAGTCCTGGGAACATCCCTGAGCCTGTGTGAGAGAGGCTGTCGCTGCCCCGCTGGACCTGAGGGCCTGGGGCTGGCAAAACCAACGTGGACAAGGCTGCTGGGTGCCACGATGCTGCTTTCCCATCTCAGGTCCCTCAAGCTCTCAGGCATATGCCACCCAGGGCCTTCGCACTGGCTGTTTCTGAAACCAGGACCCTCCTCCCGCAAACAGCTCATGGTTTATTTTTTCCTCTTCCCCTTCTTTCCATGCTGTGCTGTCTAAAATTGCCTCTCTCTCTCCAGGCAGTGCTTCATAAACCCCATCTCTTGTCCTCAGCACTGTCCATGCTGGGGCCTGGGCCTCTCCCTTCTGGCCTACTGCCTGCCCCTCCTCAGCACTGCAGCATGACCCCAGCATGTGGCAGGCACCCAGAGGATGAAGGGCTGAGAGGGCTGAGGGGCATTGGCAAGGCAGGGCCCAGCTGGTGGGTCCTGGGTTCTGGAGGAGGGTTCAGATGACTGGGGGTGATTCTCCGTTCTCAGCTGGGGTGACCCTTGCCTTGTGTAGGTCGTCGCTGAAGCTGCCCAGCTTGCTGCGGCCCTTGATGGAAAAGGAGGGCTGGGAGACTTTGCCGACAGTGTTGGGCCCCATCACCATGGGCAGCATGTACGCAGCGGGGCCTGCAGGGTGGACGGGAGCCTCAGGGTGGAACAGGGCCCACTGCTCCTTCCCTGGGGCTCCCCCAACTCTGGTCGGGAGCCTCAGGCCAGAACAGGGCCCACCACTCCTTCCCTGGGTTCCCCCCAACTCTGGACGTGGAGCCTCAGGCCAGAACAGGGCCCGTCACTCCTTCCCTGGGTTCCCCCCAACTCTGGAGATCAGCCGTCAGGCTGCCCCATCTCACCCACCCCACCCAGGATCCCCAGGTCCATGTGGCTGCGGACGGTTGGGGCTGCTGCAGACCTGGGGTGCTGTCCACTCGGAACGTCTTTGTTCGGGCGGAGATGGAGTGGCTGGGCGCTGAGTCAAACACGTACTTGGTGGATTTCTCTGGAAAGTAGTCACCTGGACAAGGAGCCAAGGGGGTTGCTGGGACAAGCAGGTGGGTATGCAGCCCAGTTTGGGGGCTCGAGGAGGACTCCCCAACATTCCAGGCATAGGGCCTCTGGGCTCCAACACAGGTGGTGGCCAAGTCTGGTCAGGGGGTGTCCAGAATGGAAATACTGACTTCGGGGCTGGGGAGACAAGGGCCATTTTTGAGCAGGGAGAGTGGGGTCTGACGTTGGCCTGGCAGAGAGAGGTCCAGGTCGAAGCTGGGTTCTAGGGCCGGAGTCTTCTCTGCCCAGGTGTGATGGTGGCCCCTCAAGAGAGAAAGATGGGACAGGAGGAGCCAGGACGGCTGAGTTCTCTCACACCCTTGCTGCCATGAGGTTAGGGGCACCCAGCAGGGAGGGGCAGGCCCGGGGCTGCACAGGGCAGGAGCCTGAGACAGGGTCACTAACCTGGGCCGGGGGTCAGCATAGTCTTGCTGTGGTAGCGCCCCAGGATGGAGTAGGCAGGGCCAAGGTCCTTGCCAGTCCTCAATATCTTGGGGTTTACATTATAACGGGGTCCTGGGGAGCAGTTCTCTGCCAGGAGCATGGGGGCCCCGCGGAAGCTGTAGGCTGGCGCACGGAGCTTGGTGGGCGTGTGCTTCACGAAACCTGCGGACACAGTGGGCCCTGAGCAGCCTGGACCTGCCCTTCTCCCCGCGGGGAGTCAGGGATCGAGCCCCAGGCCCTTCCCGGCCTCCCCACCTGCCCGCCTGGCTCCTGACCCTCCCAGGCTCTCAGGCTCTTACCGGTTGTTGGTGGAATCAGGTACTTGGGTCCAGGGCTGCTGTAGAGGGCCATGATGGGTCCCCGGGGGCGATGGGGCCTCCAGGTGCCCATCCATACCTCCTCCGTCATGGCCAGCTCTGTCCAAAAGTGAGAGGGTTACCAGGTGCTGGGAGACCCGACCCTGTCCCAGGCCGGCCCCTGATGTCCCCGTCCCTGCTCTTGCTGACACTGAGGGGTAGACCTGCTGAACCTGCCACAGTGTCCTCAGTGGGGATCTCCAGCTGGGACCCAGGAGTAAGAGATGGTAGGAGCTTTCTGCCTGGGACTGTGAGCTCCTCACCAGCTTAACTATCCCAGAGCTACTGTCCATGCTGGCCCTCAACTCACCACCGTTTTTGGCTCTAAGGGAGCCCTGGGCGGGTTTCTCCTACTTAGAGTGGTGATCAAAGACGGGGAACTTCTTGATCGAGGCTGTGCTGAGGGGCAGGGAGGGGGCCCCCCAGGAGGGAACTATAACTTCTTCGGCACAGGGACAGCACTCAGAGCAGCCTACGGACCCATCCTCCTCAGAGACCGTCCTGTCCGCCCTGGCCTTGGTGCCAGGGAGTTCCTGCAAAAGGAACATGAAGAGAAAGGCCTTCTCTCTTCAGGGGCTTACAGAATTGGGGAGAGGTCCCCCAGTCTAAACTCTAGAATGTGGCTCTGTGGGATGACGGGTTCTAGATTCTGTCTGTGTGACCAAGACAATGGCCTCTGCCTTTGATCCCCTCACCAGATCTGACCACCAGGTCCCCTCACCAGGTTCGGCCAACAGGACACCCCTATAAGTCCCCCTGACCAGGTTCCCCTCGCCAGGCCTCCCACCACCGTGTCCCCTCACCAGGTCCTCCTCGCCATGTTTCCTTGGCCATGTCCCCTCGCCAGCTACTCGCCAGGTCCCCTCACCAAGGCCCCCCCCACGTCCCCTCACCAAGGCCCCACCATGTCCCCTCACCAAGGCCCCCCCACGTCCCCTCACCAGGTTCCCCTAAGTTTCCTCACCAGACCACCCCTCACTAGGCCCCCTCACCATGTTTCTCTCACCAGGTCCCCTCAGCCAGGCATCCCCTCAGGAAGTCCCCCTCACTGAGTCCCCTCACCAGGTCCCCTGTAACCAAGTCCTCCAGGGCCCCCTCCTAGGGCTTCGTCAGCCAAATGGAAATCCAGACAGAGACCATCTAGGCAGGTGGACAGAGCACAGAGCCAGACAGCACCGCGTGGCCTCCTGGCCAGGCTCAGACAGGACAGAGGGGTGGAGAAGAGGGCCAGGGCAGTGAAGTTTCAGGGCTCAGCACCCAGGGTGGCCAAGGATGTGTCAGTTCCACTCAGCTGTGCCCCCAGAAGAGACCATAGATTGGGAAACTGAGGTGCTGGAAGGTTCTGGCTGTGGGAGAGCCTGGGATCCAGGGTCAGGATTAAGGTCTGTGCTGATTGTGGTGGGCGTGAGTCATTGTGGGCGCTGCTGCTGCCCTGGCTGACCTCCTCAGAGGCTGCTCACCTGTGGCTCCCATCCCCCTTGGACACAGGTGTCCCTTTTTTTCTCTCGGCCTTGTCGGGGGTCGTCTTGGGGCTTGAGCCCCTCCCAGTGTCTTCTAGGCAGACTCTCCTTGGACGACTTTGGGAAGAGAGATTGTTCTCAAACCCGCTGGACCTGGGCTGCCTGTGTGACTGTTTGTTGCACACAGCTATTGTCTTACGGCACCAGCTTTCAGATGCTGAGCACCCCCACCCTGACCTAGCCCACGGGCGACATGGGGTCTGTGTCCACCCAGTCCTGGACACTTCTTCTTTCTGGGGCTTCCTGTCTCTCCCACCTCATACCGCTGCCTCTGCTGCCCGTCTCCCTCTGGATGCCCTCTGTCCACATGGTGCTGTCTGGCTCTGTGCTCTGTCCCCCTGCCTACATGGTGTCTGCCTGGATTTCCATTTTGGGTCTTGCCTGTGGTGTGCCTGCTCCTGTGTGGACCCTGTGTGCCCCTCTGTAGAGGACCTTCACACATGTGCTCCTTGAGCAGGACCCTCTGTCTGTGGGTCTGTGTGTGTGGCTGTGTCCCTGAGTATGTTCTCGATGTCCCCATTTGTGTGTCCATCTGTGGGGGGAGAGAGAGGAACCAGAGCCTGAGCTGCGGAAGGCTTTATTGATTACACGGTTTGAGGGTAAATTTCCATGTGGGGAGGTGGTAGTGGGCGGTGTGTCCGTGGCTGCTTGTGTGGCAGGTCCTATGGCTGAGCCATGTCTGAGGTCCACTTAGGCACCGTCCTGACTGCCCAGCACATGCACCTGGAAGGCAGACACACGCAGAGTAAGAGGGCTGTGATCGATAAGCGGAGAGCCACAGCTCCATCAGGCAAGCAAGGCCCTCCGTGGGGGGTCTGGCATATTGCTGCCCGTCTCCTCCCAGCAGCTGGGTGGTGTGTGTGCATGCATGATGGTGTACACACATGTATGTGTGTGCATATCCCAGTGTGAGCATGCATGTGTGAATGTGTTTATACATGTGTGCACGCAGTGTGCATTGCATGTCTGCACCTGTGTTTGGATCTCTGTGTATGTTCACATGTGTGTGTGGAGGAGTAGCCCACAGACTGGGGAGGAGCAGGTCTATGGAGTCTGGGTGCCACTCTATGGACAGGAGGTCTGGGGTGCCCACCTGAGCTGGCTGATGTGGGTTCAATGTCTGTGGGTGGTGTGATGTCTGTAGGTGGTAGGCTGTGGGGGTGCTGTGTTGGGTGATCTTGGTAAGACTGCAGGTCTTTAGAAAACAGCGTGCCTCCCCCTGCCCTCATACCAGCAACTTAATCAGCTCTGCCTTGTGCATTGGCTGCAGGCCGTCTATGCAGGACTTGAGTTCAGTCATTGCTGCCTTGGCATCTTCGTTGACATTGTACTTGCCCAGGGGCCCCTCATAGAGCTCCTCTGGGGTCCCCACCAGTAGTGTTTGCAGGAAGTCCATGAAAAACTCATTGCAGTCCTCCCCTGTGGCCAGCCCTGCATCACGAGCGAGATGATGCCAAGACAGGACAGGGTGACTCTGGTGCAACCACAGCCCCGGACCTGCCCCAGGGCTCCAACCTCCATGGTCTCCAGACCTTCCCCTTCAATGCCCACTCCTCCTCCCCAGGGCTTCCTCCACAACACCCCCAACTCCACCTTGCCCGAAGACCCCTTCACATCCCCTTAATCTTAGCTGCTCCAGTTTCCACTCAGCGTTCCCTGGATCCCAGGGAAGGAAGTTAAGCCCCTGGTGTGGGGGAATTTCCCCTGATGAGAGGCTGGTCTGACCAGGGGCTTGAAGGGCCAGGTCAGGCTGGACGGGGCTGGGGTAGGGTCAGTTGGGTTTTGTCTTCGGTTGGGGTGGAGTTGGGTGGGCACAGGTTCTGCAGGGTCCTTGCCCACTTCTGTGACAGGTGCAGGTGGAATGTTCACTGCGGGGGCCTGATGCCAGGATTTTACCTTCTCGGGTACCCCCAACCCCCCTGCCCCTGAATGTTCTGGAAACCCCAATGGCACAGACTCACGGCAGATGCAGAACAGGGTGAGGGCCACCAGCAGGAGGGCACGGCTCCCCTTCATGCCAGCAATCTCAGGAGCTGCCTCCAGCCAGAATCCCGGGGTTTTATGCCTCACCGGGTAGCACTTCTCCCACAGGGCGGACCGGACCTGCCCATTAGGACCTGGCAGCCAGCTCAGATGAGGTTTATTCACATCCTTGTCTCCCAGTGGGTGCCAAGCAGCAACAGGCATGGGGTGGCTGTGTGACAGGTGGTTGGCAAGTGGCTTTAGGGTGTGTCAGAGAGAACAGGTGTGTTAGGAGGGAACGCTGGTGAGGGAGGCCATGCCAGGCAGTCAGTGAAGAAGGCAGCGGGTCCTGGTCACCAAGGGCCTCTAGTCATGCCTGCCCTTGAGGCCGAGGGTGGCGGGATCTGGGCTTGGTCCCATGCCTTTCTTTTGGGGTAGGAATCCCTCCTCTTATCACTGTGCTATGGGATCTGGGTTTGCATCTGGAGGTCCCTAATCAGGCAGGGACCTCCTCAGTACTCAGATGGGGGTGGCTGACTGGGAGAAGGGGGTGCAGGCTGCACCGGTGGACACTGCCGTAGGACTGCCTGGGGACTGTGGATCTGTGGGGTGAGGAGCAGCCCAGTGGCAGTGCCTAGAAGAGAGAAGGTGGCCTGAGAGGGTCCGAGAGACATAGAGCTGGCCAATCCGGGGCCAGGTCTCAGCAGGAAGTGAGGAATGGGAGAGGCTGGAGGTACATCAGTAGCCAGGACAGCAAGGAGAGGTCGAAGGCCCTGGGGAGATGGTCCCAGGACATATTACAGTGGACACAGGAGGTTGGGACACCTGGAGTCACCTAACAAAACCACCCCAAGAGAGGCCATGAGTAGGGGTTTCCCAGTCCAGTCCTCCGGCTGAGCCACACGGTCCAAATACAAAGGGCCCTTGCTGCCACCTGGTGGCTGATGGCGTCCCCGGGATCCCGGGCCACTCGCGTTTAGGGTCTCTGGAAGACCAAGGTCCTTGTTACAGTGAAGGACTCCTAAACAAGCAGAGATTTACACCTACTCCAGACAATGAAATAAAATCCCATCGTGGACAAAGTATGTGGGATGGAAATAAGGCTTGGGTAAGGGTTAGGATGAGGATTATGGTTATGGTAAGGGGTTAAGGGTTAGGGCTCAGCATTGGTTAGGAGTTAGGGATACAGTGGGGCTGGGTTAGGGTTAGGGTTTGGATTAGGGTTCGGGATCGGGTCGGGCAGCCCAGTGGCAGTGCCTAGGAAGAGAGAAGGCCTGAGAGGGTCCGAGAGACATAGAGCTGGCGATCCGGGGCCAGGTCTCAGCAGGAAGTGAGGAATGGGAGAGGCTGGAGGTGACCAGCATGGTGGACAGCAAGGAGGTCGAAGGCCCTGGGAGATGGTCCCAGGACATATTACAGTGGACAGGAGTTGGGACACCTGAGTCACCCAACAAAACCACCCCAAAGAGAGGCCATGAGTAGGGGCTTCCCAGTCCAGTCCTTCCGGCTGAGCCACGGTCCAAATACAAGGGCCCCGGCTGCCACCTGGTGGCTGATGGCGTCCTGGGATCCCGGCCACTCGCGTTTAGGTCCTGGAAGACCTGTCCTTGTTACAGTGAAGGACTCTAAACAAGCAGAGATTTACACCCCACTCCAGACAATGAAATAAATCCCATCGTGACAAAGTATGTGGGATGGAAATAAGGCTTGGGTAAGGGAATAGATGAGGATTATTATGGTAAGGGGTTAAGGGGTTAGGCTCACATTAGTATAGAGCTAGGGATACAGTGGGGCTAAGTGAGGGGTTAGGCTTGGATTAGGTTCGGGATCGGGTCGGGGTCAGGTTAGGGGTAAGGTCAGGTCAGGGTCAGGTTAGGTAAGGTCAGGGTCAGGGTCAGGTTAGGTAGGGTAGGGGTTAGGTGTATCAGTACTTTTTACAAAGAAAAAATATCAGTACTTTCTCTAGTAATTCCATCTGTAACATTGAGCATTTAAAAGTCGTTGTAATACATTTAAATAATTGCCCATACAAGCGCAGTATAAAATGTAGCATTAATGAAACAAGTAAATGTCCCAACTTAACCTGTCTTTGTGTCGCGGAAATAAATTTCTCCCACTGTCTCTATGAATATGTTTACCATTTGTGCAAATATACCACTGAGTATAGTAGACAGTGTTTATTTTGACAACAGTCCACCTCCGTGAAATTACACACATAAATTCTGCTATAACCTGTGTGCATTGGCAGATGCAGTTAAATGTGAGCCAAGGCCCATTTGTTCATGCGTGTGTTTTTATGATTTTGTCTGTTCCTTTTGTGACTTACATATTTATAAAACAGAATGTGAGAAGAGTTAGCTCTTTGTAGTTATTTAGCTGGAAGATATGTAGGAAAATTGCCTCTAGAACCTTTAAAAGCAAATTGTAGGATTTTTTTAAAGTCCCTGAAATTATAAGTCAAGATATTATTTTAAATTATTATTCTTTGAAACTACTTTTCTGTATATATCAAGATTTATCAATAACATATAAACAAAGTAGGAAAGTATGGTTACCATATTGTATAATGGCACCTCATGTTGCTTATTTGTTTTATAATTAAGTCATAAATTGAGCTCACAAAAATGTTTATATTAATAAAATGATTATCTTTGGTAATGTTTGAGTTTTTCTTGTACATTTTTATGTAACAACAAAAAAGTTGTTATTATTAAAAATGGTTTTAAAAATTGAGCAAGCCTAACCTCTTCATCTTGTAAATACAATAACCTGAGGCTCTTCAGGGCTGAGACTCACAGGCTATTTCACCCGGCATTGCTGGATGTTGGCTCAGGATCCAGAATAAATTTGAACAATTCATGCTAAATTAATAAATGCACTTTAAAATAGGCCCATATGAATCCCAAAGTAACTAAACCTGTGGAATTTGTAAAAGAAGGTGTTACGAATGAGGACGTGGCATTTCGACATTAGTTCTGATTCTCCCCTTTCTAAAAGTATCTACAGTCTCTATTTTCCCATGACGAGATTTCTGTGAGGAGAGCCTGGTAGAGCTTACAGCAGACATCACGCAGATGTCTGAGTGTTTCAAGTGAGGATGGTAAAAGGCTTTGTTTGTTTTACAAACCTTTTGTTTTCCAGGGAGAAAACATGCAGGCTGAGTCTAAAGTCAATCCTCCCACTGAAATACTGTAATGACTCTGAAAAAGGTTGTTGTGTTTTTAGGTGCAAGTGGAGCCGCAGTCCTGACTTCTGAGTGGACAGAGGAGAATTCATGTTAATGATTGCACTCCTTTCTCAATTTTTAATATAATAATTATACTTAAGTAATGTTTTTTAATGAGAATAAAATAGTTTAACAATGTTTACTTGACTATTTTATTACATCAAGCTATTTTATCCCCTACAACCATGGAAAAGACTCACCGCTTCCATTTCATAGTGAGATTGCAACTGGACAAAACTGTCCAATTTTAAAAACATGATTTATTTCATTATGAAAGTTCATAGTTGATGTAATTAATACCTTTTTGTGGTCTTAATTCAATGGGTGTGGGCATCTGTACGCTGTCGTGGTCCACCGCTGTGGTGAACGCACACAGCGGTCTCACTGTCTAAGCAGCCGGGGTTTCTGCCCATCCATCTTCTCCTCTAACCCCTGTCAACTATTACATAATTATCTTTGTAATTTTCCTTTTCCAAAATGCTTTCTTAATTGGAATCATACAATATGTAGCCTTTGGCTTCTTTCACTTAGTGGTATGCATTTTGGTCCCTGTGTGCCTTTTTCATGATTAGATAGCTCATTTATTTTCTCACTGGGAATGATGACTGCATTACATCTGTAGGTACTAGAATTATTTATTCCATTCACCTACTGAAGGACATGTTGGTTGCCTCCAGTTTCTGGTAATCCTGGAGTAAAGCTCTGAACATTTGAAAGGCAAGTTTCTGTGTGGACATAACTCTTGATGGAATGACAAGGAAAGGTGTATTTGCCTGATCCCAGGAATCCATGTAAACATCCATGATAACCCCACCGTTTTTTTTTAAATGTATGATTTGGATGAAACAAAGAGAATGAGGTTGACTGTTGCTGAGTCCTCAAGCAGTCCCGACACAGCTGGAGACACCCTGCTCTCCTGCTTTCCTTATTTTGTTGATGCTTATGAGGACTATGTTGTCTGAGGAAGACAGTTCCCATCATCCAATTCTGCTCCTGTGTCACGTGTCAAGCCTTGTCAACACGAGAACCTGACAGGCAGAGAGTGTTATAATCCCATCTATAGAAAAGGAAACTGCCTTTGCCTTAGCATCTTGCCCTAGCTCCATGATACTATAGCAGAGGCCTGAGTTTAGATGCAGCCCGCTTTGCTCTTTGACAGCCTCAGCAATTCTCATGCTCCTGTGATCCACACAGAGTCACTGACAGCCTCATAATATCTGTGGCACAGCATGGAGTGGAATGGCCCACTGACCTTTTCAGACATTCAGGCAATTTGTGATGGAGCGTATGCGGTCACTCCCACTTACTTCTGTTGTTCAGTTTAATAGAATACCTAATTCTATGTTTCTTATGAATAAAGGGAGATTTCTTGTTTTTTTTTTTTTTTTTGAGACGGAGTCTTGCTCTGTTGCCCAGGCTGGAGTGCAGTGGCGCGATCTCACTCACTACAAGCTCCGCTTCCCAGTTCACGCCATTCTCCTGCCTCAGCCTCCCAAGTAGCTGGGACTACAGGCGCCCACCACCACGCCCGGTTTTTTTTGTATTTTTAGTAGAGATGGGTTTCACTGCGTGTTAGCCAAGATGGTCTCCATCTCCCCGACGTCATGACCCGCCCACCTGGCCTCCCAAAGTGCTGGGATTACAGCTCGTGAGCCACTGAGCCTCGGCCTCTCTTGTGGTTTTAAGAATATGAAGCATATCTATTTTGCCTACAAGTTAGAAGTTCCCAATACTACAGGAAGGAGACAAGAGCAGGTTATAATGATGGGTCTTTTTTATTAGACTGACTCACATCAGACTGAATCAGTAACTCCATGCAATGGTGTGAGACATTAAACATTTAACAAAAAGAATTCTTTCTAGGTCATGCAAGGACTAGATATATCTAATTATACCCAGTAAGATGTATTGTGATATTTACAGTTAATCACTCATTTAATTCAAAGGGTATTTATTAATTGTCTGCTCTGGTCATAACATCAATCGAAAGCAATGTGTTCACATGGAAAAAAAAACTTACCTGAGGTGGCTGG